CCTTGCTCTTATGCGCACGGGTCACCTGAGTGGGGGTGGCCACCAGAAAGCCTGGGAGATGATAGCGATGAGGTCGTGTCCCCAGCCCACCCAACTGAGATGGAGTGCGGCGGGGATACGAGAGGCCTGAGGACTCTGATAAAGTCTAGGCCACGAGGAAAGGCTAGGCAAACGCCTCGTGGGGACCAGGCCTCCACGGTGTTCATCGTCTCTGTGAACTATTACAATTCATGGAAACTTGCTGGATATCCATTAATTCGGTGGGAAGTGAATTTGGACCCCATCTCCTTCACATGCAAGAACTCGGGTCTTCGGATGGAAGAGAATTTTCTAACGTGTTGGTAGCTACAGGGACATGGAGCTCATTCCCCTAGCTACCAGGACAGTGGGCAGGCTCTAGGGTAGCCCCCCCAACCCCTGCTAACACCGCAGGCCTGTACTGGCCTCTCCCCTACTCCAAGAGTAACCTTATTGACCTGTGCCATCACATAAAACACAATGTGACAGAGTTTCTGTTTGGGATGAAAAGGTTCTGGAAACATAGCAGTGATGTTTACATAACGTTGTGAATTAACTTAATGCCACCAAAGTGAGTACTTTAAAATGGTTTCAATGGTCGATTGCATGTAACGTAGATTTTGCCACATTAAAAGAAAAGTTTGAGAATCACAGTTTCCATGGCGGTTAGGAGAGAAGGGGGAGGGTCGCTGGGTGCGAGAGAGCAGGATCAGAAGACCCCACGGGGGTTGGGGGCTTCGAGGATCGTGGGTGGGAGATGTGTGGGGAGAAGGCAGGGCTGGAGCCATCCTCTCCCTCCCTCCTTGCCTGGGAGTGGGACCCCGTCTCTGCTCAGCTCTGTGTTCAGGCCCCATCTTAGAGCCACAGAGCCATTCAGCACTTATGTGGCATTTTCTTGACATTGAACTCATGTCCAGCGTAAACTCCTGAGGGCCATGTGGTGCAGTTAAACACCTCCATGTTGTTCCGTGGCTGGTACGGGCCAGGGGTGGGGCGCAAAGACTGGGTTCTCTACCCAGTGGCTACTGCCAATCTTGGTTTGGAACACGATCAGGGAAAAAGAAATAAATTTTAATGAGTTAATAAAACATTTCATCTTCTACAGAGAAATAGTGCACTTGTGCTTTACTTCGCAGAGCACAGTCACGTGCTGGGATGTGCTTCTAAGGTAAAAAGTTTGCTGCTTTCCCAGGATGGTCATACCTGGGCTGGCTTCCTCCGGGGATGGCGTGGGGGGCGTATATTGTCACTGAGACTGTCACTGTTCCACTCTGCCCTCCTCCCTGGGAGCAGCCCTCAGGTACTCGGTCTCTCCCTGCAGACTCATTTACGTTTTCAGCCTCGTCTCCTGTTTTTGTTTTTTTTTTTAAGATTGATTGATTGATTGATTGATTGATTTATTTATTTATTTACTGGACAGACAGAGATCACAAGTAGGCAGAGAGGCAGGCAGAGAGAGAGGAGGAAGCAGGCTTCCCGCTGAGCAGAGAGCCCGATGTGGGGCTCGATCCCAGGACCCTGAGATCATGACCTGAGCTGAAGGCAGAGGCTTTAACCCACCGAGCCACGCAGGTGCCCCTCGTCTCCTGTTTTGATGACCAACAGACTCGACACTAAATGCCTTGACTGCTTGCCAACAAACTCAAAGGATTCAAAGATACACCTTGCCAAGAAGGTTCAAGAGAATTGGAAGTCCTGTAAATGTCTGGGACGTGGAAGGTCTCCCCAGATATGCTGCAGGGTCTAAAGATTTTCTTTTTTTCTTTTTTTTTTTAGCAGAGAGAGAGACAGAGACCACGAGCAGAGGGGAAGAGGGAGGAGCAGAGGGAGCAGGAGTGAAAGAATCTTGTGTTTTTTTAAAGGATTTATTTATTTACTTGAGAAAGAAAGAGAGCTTGTGGGTTTGCACTAGCAGGGGGAGGGGCAGAAGGAGAGGGAGAGGGAGAATCCCAAGCAGATTCCCCGCTGGGTGCAGAGGATCCTCTCAGGACCCGAGATCATGACCTGAGCCAAAACCAAGAGTCAGATGCTCAGCCGACTGAGCCACCCAGGCGCCCCGGGAGCGAAGGAATCTTAAGCAGCCTCCATGCCCAGCATGAAGCCCAATGTGGGGGAGGGGGCTTGATCTCAGGACCCTGAGATCATGACCTGAGCTGGTATCAAGAGTCAGATACTTGAACTGACTGAGCCACCCAGTCGCCCCTAAAAGTTGTTCTTACACAAGAATTCCAGAATGTTTAGAGAAATATAAACATCGGTATGACCAACATAAATGTCGCTTGCATGTGTTTGATTTTCAAAGTCTGTGAGATGACTTTTGTTTCTCGGGAATCACAGGTTCAGTGCCTGGGAGGCCTGGGAGGCCTGGGAGGCGACTCAAGAGAGCGCGGCCGATGGACGGGCAGGGGCCCAGCACACTGTGCCTCCTCTTCTACGTCTGAAGAGGCCGACTTCCGCTCAGCGCCAGCCGCTAGCTTTTTCCAGCTTCTCCCAGGAGAAGCTGGAAATCCAGAGTTTCAAGTGAAATTTCCAAGTATTTCAAATGCTGCTGGAGCCAAACTCAGTGGCTCCTACTATGGCCTCACGGCCACAGTCCCCTGGAATCCCCCACTCATTCTTGGCCACAGAAATTAAACTCCCCACATTCAGACCCATACGTCCTCCTTCCTCTGCGTCAAGGTCAAAGAGACCTAAGCCACCTCAGTCGTCCACCAGCACCTTGGTCTCTTTTTCTTCTCCCTTCTGGGGGACTGTGCCTTTGAGATTCATCGTTGCAACCTGAATTCTGTCCCCATGGCCCCGGAAGCAGGTCACGGCAAGGCTGCCAAGGATCTCGTTGCTGCAGAATCCAGAGGAGTGGAAAGTTCTTATTGTGTGGTCTCTGGACACCCTTCAGCTGCGGACTTCCTCCTCTGTCCGGAAACACTGCCTTTCCTCAGCCCTGACGGGCACCTCGGGGCTTCCCTTTCCACTCTCTGGCACCACAAGCCCCCAATCTTTCTGGGCTTCTCCGCACGCTGTCCCCTGAACGGGACCGTCCCGAGGGTTCTGTCCAGAGCCCTCTTGGCTCACTCTACACTTGGTTCTCGCCAATTATCCACTGCCCCACAGCTTGACAAACATGTTGGTGGGCCTTGGACCTCTCTCCAGCGCAGACCCCCTCCAGAGCTCTGCACCCACATGGCCTGCTTCCTGCTGGTTCCAACCCCTCGGCAGATGCAAATCTGTGCCCCCAGGGCAAGATGGCTCCCCCTCCTCTGTTCCCCATATCAGCAGAAGTCAGTCGTCAAGCAGAAATCAGGCTGACATTGCCACCCTCCATCTCCGTCTCCACATTGGGCCACTCATCCCGAGTCTGGTATCTCTTAGCCAGTCGTCTTTCTTAAAATGCATCCGTGTCTACATCATCCTAGTGCTCCCCTGCCTAAACCCTTCCACGGCTTCCTGCTGCCCCTGGATAAAGTCTGAGCTCCCAGATCTGTGCTGAAGGCTTTTCTAGTCGGCCCCTCCTAGTGTTCAGGCTCCTGGCCCTCTCATTCAAGACTCCCTCTCTGAGCCTCTCTGTGCTGGACTTTGACCCCTGCGTGTACCATCTTCCCCACCCCCCCTTCACCTGGCCCCTTGTGTTCATTCTCCAGGCCTCACAGTAGAGATGTCTTCATGCTGGGGGTGCCTGGGTGGCTCGGTCGTTAAGCATCTGCCTTCGACTCAGGTCATGATCCCAGGGTTCTGGGATCAAGCCCCGTATCGGGCTCCCTGCTCAGCAGGAAGCTTGCTTCTCCCTTTCCCACTCCCCCTGCTTGTGTTCCCTCTCTCGCTGTGTCTCTTTCTATCAAATAAATAAAATCTTTAGGGAAAAAAAAAAGAGATGTCTTCAGGCTGCAAACCTCCCTTGACTTTCCCTAGATTTGGGATGCCCTCATCACATCCCCGCCCCCCAAAGCCTTCTGGGCTTGCCCAAGGATTTCTGATAGTTCCTGCAAGTATGTCTGTCTCGCTTACTATTCTTTCCCAGTGCCCCAGTGTAGTGCCTGGCAGGCAGGAGGCACCCCAATATCTGTTGGCGAGGGTTCTTTTTGGTGATGGTAATGCTAGAGTTGGAAATGGCCTCAGCCCTTATCAGTCAACAATCTATGGTAATTAGAAAGCAGAGTTGCAAGAAAATGGATTCTCTGCTCCATGTCTCGTGAGAGGCCCAGGGGTAGTCAGACCTGGTTAGAGCCTTCTCCCCGTCCAGCATGTTCTCCATCATCCTCCCCTCCATCTCACTGCCAGCCAGCCAGCTAGCCAGCCGGCTGGGCACACGTGGCTACGGAGACGTCTGGATCAAGCATCCACCTTAAAGACAGAAAGTAGGGGAGATGGTGTTGGGAAAGCAACATTCATCTGCTGTTCCCGTCCGTCCTTCACGCTGCCAGGCAGGGTGGCAGGTGGGGCTGCTGTTCTGAGATCCCCCTGGGGACAGTTCCAGAGCCCACACCATCTCCACGGCAATGGCCACAGGGTGCCCTGCCCCTCTCTGCGTTCCCTACCTTGGTAGCCTCGGCACCTGCCATGAGACACGCATGTTCATGTTTCTTCCATCAAGCGTCTGAGCTAAAAGCAGGGAGCAGGATAGTGGCGCCGTGAGCTCTATTTTATTTTCATTTCCTAGAGCCCATTACCAGTGCCTGGCTAAATTTAGCTCACCCCAGGGGTAGGAAGGGCTGGTCCTCTGGGGGAGGACTGAGTGGGGCAGTGGATGAGAAGAGTCAGGGATTCCCCGTCTCCGCGGTGCTCATTTAACAGCCCCCAAACCTTCATATTTTGATTTTAATGACACTTTAAGGACACACATACTCATTCTTGTCACTCCCCCTGGAAAGGCTCCTGACCCAGCCCGTCCTTGGCAGGCTGGGGTCCAAGAAAACAAAAGTCTGCTTTCTGGTGGGGTCTCTTGGTGGGATTCTTTCCAGGACTCACGTTCCCAGCAAGGGCTCATTAGCATTGTCTCTGTCACAGAATGCCAAAGCTGGTCATCCTGCCCAGACTTCTTCCTCTCCAGCAAGATAAAGCGGGCAGAGAACAGCCATCGGGGCCCAGGCCGTCGTGCTTACCGCCCAGAAGATGTCGGGCACGGGTCTCTCCAACCAGCGAGCCAAGGAAGGCTCCTGGAGAGAACACGGCTCAGAAGAAGAGGGGGGGCGCCGCTGCCTCTGAGGGAGTGGGCCAGGCAGGGGCCGAGAGGTCGGCGTCGGCGGCCGCGTGGGCGGCCTCGCCGTGGATGCGCTGGTGCCGCACCAGGTGGGTTTTGCGGCTGAAGCTCTTGCCGCACTGCGGGCAGGAGAAGGGGCGGGAGCCGGTGTGGATGGCCTGGTGGCGCACCAGGTTGGTTTTGGAGCTGAAGCTGCGGGCGCAGACGGCGCAGGCGTGGGGCCGGCTGCCCGTGTGCACCGCCTGGTGGCGGCCCAGGTGCGACTTGCGGCTGAAGCGGCGGCCGCACTGCGCGCAGGCGAAAGGCCTGGCGCCGCTGTGGGCTCTGGAGTGCGCGACCAGATTGGGCCTCGAGCCGAAGCGGCGGCCGCACTGCGCGCAGGCGAAGGGCCGCTCGCCCGGGTGCACCCGCCGCTGCCGCGCCGGCTGCTGCCCGTGGGCCAAGCCGCGCCCACAGTCCGCGCAGGAGGACCGCTCGCTGGCGGGAGCGCCCTGGGTCGCCGGCGTGTCACTGGGCGCGCAGGCCAAGGGCCCGGCGGCGGCGGCGGCGGCGTCCACGGTAGCGCCCAGCGCGCACTGGTCGCACCCAAAGGGGCGCCCCTCGCCGCGGTGCAGGCGCTGGTGCGTGGCGAGGTTCTTCTTCCAGCCGAAGCTCAGGCCGCAGTCGGAGCAGGAGAAAGGCTTGGGCCCAGGAGGGGACGGGGTCGGGGACGGGGCCGGGGAAGCCGGCGAGGCGGGCGCGTCGGGAGAGGAGGGGGCGCGGCCGGCCGCCTCGTGCACCCTTTGGTGCCGCACCAAGTGCTGCTTGTGCGTGAAGCTGCGGGAGCACCGGGCGCACTGGTAGGGCCTCTCGCCCGTATGGATGCGCTGGTGGCGGATCAGGTGTGTCTTTTTGCGAAAGCGCTTCTCGCACTCGGTGCAGGGGAAGGGCCGCTCGCCCGTGTGCGTCTTCTGATGCGAGCCCAGGTGGATCTTCTGGCTGAAGCGCTTGCCGCACTCGGCGCACGGGTAGGGCCGCTCGCCCGTGTGCGTGCGCAGGTGGCGGGTCAGGTGCGCCTTCTTGCTGAAGCGCTTGTCGCACTCGGAGCAGGGGAAGGGCCGCTCGCCCAGGTGGCTGCGCAGGTGCAGCAGCATGTGCGCGCGCTGCGCGAAGCTGCGGCCGCAGTCCGGGCAGGCGCACGGGCCCTCGCCGCGGTGCAGCCTCTGGTGCAGCCGCAGAGTCAGCTGGTCCCGGAACCGCCGCTCGCACTCCCCGCAGCCGTAGGGCTTCTCCGAGGTCGGGGCCCACCCGGCCAGCGCGAGTCCTTCCAGGGCCCCTGGGGGCCCAGGCTCCAGCTTGTACGCAGCGGCCAGAGGCCCCAGGTCCGGCGCGGGAAAAGGGCCGGGGAGTAACGCTAGATGCTGCGGCCACTCGACCTCCTCTTCCGCCTCCTGATCCTCCTCCTCCACCTTCACCTTCCGTATCATCCACTCATCCCCTGGAAAGTCAAAACCAGACGAGCCAATTAAGCCCCATTTTTATTCCTGCCCATGGGAGCCCCTCTTCTGGAGCCAGGCCGCAGTCTGGCTCTTGCTGTCTCAGTTCTACTGGATGTTTCCAGAGAGTGTCCCCGGTCCATCCTCCTCGGCTCCTTGCAGCCTAGGAAGCTGCTGAGAGCCCTCAGTTCCTCCTGGGGGATCTCTCTTAGGCTTCTGCAGGGCCGGGAGCGTTTTCCGTGCCTCTGCAGAAGGCGCGTGCACTTTTGTGGCCCCTGAATATAAAGGTTGCTCCAAGTTCAGGCCTCAGGCTTCCCTCCAGGTTCATCTGCTCACAGTGGCTGCCCCAGATCTTCCAGCCCTTTCTGGAACCGCAGTCTCCCATCAGCTGAGCAGCTGGAACTCCCTTCTAGTTGCCTCTCCAAGGTTCCCCCTATCCCTAACTCCCTCCCTTCATTCTGGCCTCTGGAGCCAGGCAGGAAATCCCAGTTTAGGAAGAGGAGGATGGAGTTTGCAGGAATGGGGGAACCAGTAAACAGTGCCCATGTATGGAGAAGCAGGGAGCACCCTCTGGGGGAGCAGGTTTGAGGTCGATCCCACTGGAGCTTTGTCCCTCCTGGGCCCTGCAATGGTCCAGCCAAGACAAAGGAGCTCAGGGCCCAGACTGGGAGTGTCCACTTGGGTATCCTCTGCCACTAGCCAGTAGTGTGACCTGTTAACTTACCTCTGTGAGCGCTCCTTAGGTGTAAGTGTTGTGTTAGTTCATGGTTCCTAATCTCCTGGCGACTTTTACCCAAATGCATTTCTGGGAGCAGGATGCCTGATCTCTTCTCTTTCTCTAAAGCTCCCAAAGTCATTCTCGTTTAAGAACCACTGAATCAGAGGATCTGAGTTCCTGTCCTAGGCATAAACGCTCCCCTGTAGCCAAGCTGGTCTGCTCAAACCCCGGCCACACGGCAAATTTTCTGTATTAAAGTCTCTTCTCAGCCTAGGATGTTTTCCCATCCTCTGCCCCACCATCAGCGCTCGTGTCTACACCTCCTCAAAATGCAGCATGGGTCGCCAAAATCTTTGAAAAATCCAATGCGTGAGCATCTCTTATCTACCTACAGCACTCACGGAACATGGTTATACTTCCTTGCAATGTGGCCTGATTACTATTTGTTCTTTTAATTCCTTATTCTGGTTCATATTGTCATCTCAGCTAGATTTTAGCTTCTGAAAGGCAGACGTCTTGTGTTCCATTTCTGTATGTGTCTCATGAAAATGAGGACTGCCACCACTTATTGAGTGCCAACCGCCGATGACACACGGTCTATCCGCTGTCACAAAGCTTCACAGCAACCATGAAGTGCATCTTCTCCCTGCTTACAGGTGGGCAAACAAGCTCCTGCAGGTGAGGGAGCCTAAGGTCACTCGGCTGGGACATGGGGAGGCAGGAGTCAAACAGGGTCTGTGTCCGCCAGGGGCAATCTTGTTCCCTTCTACCTAACACAGCCTGGACCGAGCAGGTTCTAAATAAACCCCTGGAATAAAGGACATCAGTCAGGTAGAAGGTGCCAAGTGTGGTGGGAGCTGGAGGGAGTAAGGGCAGCATGGTGAAGAGAGAAATTAACCGTTCCGTCCCCCTGCGTGTGGGAGACATGAGTCCAGCACCACAGAATTGGGGCATTGGGGGACCACTGAGACCAGTGGAGATTTGGGGGGGAAGGGAGCTTGTCTAGGGGGAAGGCAATGAAAAGGTAGGTCTTCATGGGAATGGCAATTCAAGTCATCAACAAATACACATGCAGATAGAGGGAGGCAGGAGAAGTTAAGACTTCTAGAGGATGTTGAAGTGAGGGTCAGTTTCTCTGGGTGACCAGCCTCTCTGAGTCCTGTCATCTGTGCTGTGGAGTTCCCTCTGGGGGCCAAAGCTCTACAGCAGAAAGGTGCCAGGGACGGATTCATCCTAGGTTGGAAGGGCCTGGAGTGGCTGCCTCATTCAGATAGCAGCCGGGAGTTGACAAGGCCCCTATCCCCTCTGCCTGGGCCCCCGGTGGTCTGGAGAGATGGAAAGACTCACCTGGGCAGGAGCCCATGGGCTCGGCCTTCTGTGGCGCGCATGCCTGGCCTCCTCTGCCGGGGCCTTGAGCTTCTTCAGTGTGGGCGCCTTCCTCTGGTCTGGGGGCCTCGTGCCCTGGAAGAGAACAGGCTACCTCAAGGACTCCAAAGACATCACAGAAGGACAGAGGTCCCCACTGGGGCCATCAAGCAGGGGCTTTTGAAACCCCAGTCCCAGTGGCAGGGGTTTCCCACATCATAGCTGCAGGGACTGAATTCCCTGCTGCCCCGGGGGCAGCCTCAGGCTCCTTCAAACCGGGGCAGCTGTAAGCAAAGGCTGTGGAGGCTGGGAGAGCCACAGCTGTGAGGAGCTTCTGGAATATGTGTAGGAGGTGGTGGAAGCAAGGAAAGGTTCCTGCCCTGAGGCTTGCAGGAGACTTCTACAAGGGGGGCTGCAGACCTCCCAGATGGCAGATGGACCCAAGTTCCAGGCAAATCATTGGGCAAGACCAGAATGTCAAGAAGCCAGACACGGGCCTGCTTTCCTTGTCTTCTCCCTCTGGGAGCTACTCGGCCACCTTCTTCACCTCTTCCGAATCTTGCTCAAATCTTACCTTCCCAATGGGGCCCGCTCTCACCCTCCTACTATTTAATCCTGCAGGCCCCCCCCCACCTCAGGCCCTTCCACCTCAGGCACATATCCCCTGAGACAGTCTATAAGTACATTTTTATATTTGTTTGCTGACTTTCTGCCCTCCCTAAGATTAAGCTCCTGGAAGGCACGGATCTTTGTTTTTGGCCACTGAGGTATTCCAAATATGGAGAAGAGTACCGTGGCACTTAGTAGGTGCTCAACAAATACCTGAAGAAGGAAAGGTAGATGCCGCCCCGAACCACTGCTCCTGCTCCCCACCTACTTACCAGAGCATGTGCCCAGCATGCTGTCTTCCCTGGAAGGGGACATCCGCTCCTGGTTATTATGGGACCCTTCCCCAGGCTCACTTTGGGGGGCCATCTCCGGCTGTCCCACAGAGAATCCTGTTATAGGCAGAAGGATGGGGCCAAATAAAGCGTCAGAGTATAGAACAGTGATCAAAGGGAGGGGCTCTTCCTCTTCCCTGAAACAGCTAAGGGGCTTTTTCCAACTTGCTCAGGAAGGAAGGGTCTCTCGCCAGCATGAGAGGGGAGAGCCAGGCTTCCCAGCAGCCTGGCCAGGTGTCCTTTGTGTCCTCAGTGCCCCTTTGCACTGAGTCAAGAGCAGGTGAAGGAAGAGAAAATAGATTGAAATATCCGGGTACTCCAGACAGGAGTCCGGGAGTCCGCAGGTGCACCTACAATCGGCATGCACGCCGTGTGCAATGGTCCCGCACAGCCTCTGCCGGGCCCGACTTGAAAATAGACCCAATGGAACTGAGGCTGCCCTACAGGCTCCCGGGGGTCTCTGGGGTCTCAGGGTTGCCATCTCTTGAGAACAGCCGGGCTGTCCGAATGGTAGGGAAGCAGCAGGCCTAGGGTGCCCCTGGATCCTGCCTCCCACCCACCCACGTTCCTTGAGTGTTGTGGGCTCACCCAGGGAGCTGAGGGCCTCAAAAGTCTCTCTCATGGCAACCCAGGGTAGATCCTCCTGGGAATCAGGCCACACACCCTGAGGAGAAAACACATCCTTGTTCACATTCTTCTCCGGACAGCTGCCACCTGGGCCTTGGCTCTGCCCAACTTCTCCCCATCAGAGATCCCCAGGAGCTCCAAAGATGATGTCCCCAGGGACAGGTAAGGGGCATGAGGGAAGATGGGTTTCAGAAAGCAAAGAGATCTTTGCAGGGCAAGGCCAAGGCATTGAAGCCACTTCTGCAGGCTCTGGTCAGTTCCAGAAATCAGCTGCAATCCTTCCCTCACCTGGCGGGTCTCTGAACCGGGCCCAGCCCACCAGTGCTCCCCACCCCCCAGTGCCCTTGCCTGGGGACTTCAGGAATCAATCGATTCTCCATTCTGGGGGCGGGGTGGAGAGTGGAAGTCCCGGGTGGGAGCCGGGAACTTCATCTCCTAGGCCCTCCAGCTGTCACTGCAGGAGCTGGCGAAATAGGAGCCAGCCGAGGGGCGGAGGTGAGTGTCACTACTGGGCAACTGGTGGGGGAGGCCCTCCAAGGAGGGTCTTTGCTGAACCAGGAAATGACTCTAGCTTCCTCTCCCCAAAACCCTACCTCAAAATCATCGCCCCTCCCCCTCAGGGCTTCCCCAGGCAGGGACACCCCGCCCTCGAGCCCCCTTCCCAGCTCCTCCTCCAGCGGGTTCCCTGCCCCACCCCCCATCAGACTCCCCCGCCGCCCCCCCCAATCTCTCTGGCAGCCTTCCCTTTGCCTCTCCCTGCTCCGGCTCCCTCTGCCTTCCGCCCTCTCTCCCTACCGAATCTGGCCCGCTCCCCAGCTCCGCCCCCTGCCCCGCCCCTCCGGCTCCTCCCCCTGCTCACAGCAGGGCCAGCCCCTCCCGGCCCCCTCGGGTAGGCCCTCCCCGGCCACCGCCCCCCTGACCCTCTCCTCTGGGCACACTTGGCGACAGGGTTCCCCTCCTCCTCCCCCCGGCTCAGGGCCGCCTTCCCCTTTCCTCCCGGTTCTCCCCCAGGCTCCATCCTCCTCCCCGGCTGCACACCCTCTCCCTTCCTTTCCCCCTCCTCTTTTCCTTCCTCCCTAACGCCGCCCTCCTCCTCCCCGCTTTTCTCCCTCACCCCGCATTCCCCTCCCCTCTCCCTCTCCTCCCCCACTCTGGTTTCCCTTCCTTCTCCTTTCCTCTCTTCACCTCAGTTCCCTCCCTCCTCCCCCTCTCCCCAGCCCTCCTCCCCGCTCTCCCCACACCATCCTCCTCCCTCCCTCCCTGCCTCCCTCCTGCAGCTTGCCTTCCCCTCCGAGGCCCCCGTCTCCCTTCCCCCTTTGCCTCCCCAGCAGGCTCTCGCTACCCTACCCTCCCGGTCCCCAGTCCCTAGAACCGCTCTTCCCCTCCCCCTTCCAGTCCGCTCCCGAGCTCTCTCCCTTGTCCCCAGGCTCCCCCAAGCCTGGGAGTCTGTGGCTTACGGCTGGCTCTGGACCTTCTCACTGAACCTGCTCCTCTCCACCCCTGCCTCCCAACACACCTCCGCTTCCCTCCCCTCTCTCTCAGTGGCTACCTTCCCCATTTCTGCTCCCCACGGACTTCTACCGCCCCCCAAGTTTTCCTCCCGATCAGACCCCTCCCCTCCCACCTCCCCGCCTCCCGTCCGTCCCCTAGAGCCTCTTCTCGCAGACCTGACTACACAGCCCGGCCCCTCCCCGGCTCCCGGGCTCACCTGTCAGCGCCCTCCTCTCCCGCCCCTCCCCAAAGGCCTGATCCCTTGGCCTCGTTGCCCCCCTTCCCCTACGGCCCCCTCCCACACTCCCTCTCCCTTTTCCGGAGACTCCTCACTCCCTCCCCTCGGGAGCCTCCCATCCCTCTCCCACCCGACTCCCACCCGGGCCCCTCTCCCCAGCCTCCGCCCCTCCCTCCAGATCCCCGGTCCTCCTCTCCTCGACTGCCGTGACCACCCCCAAGCCAGACCCTCTCCACCCAGCCCCAGCCCCTCCCTCCTCCAGCCCCTGCCCCTCCCCTGCCCTTTCTTTCCCCCACCACCCCCACCCCACCCCCTCCAGCGCTCCCGGCGCCCCCACCCCCGGGGCTGTCACCTGCGCGGAGCGGGCAGTGACTGAGTGTCGGTGTAGAAGGGGAAGCGGGCGGAGCCGCCTGCCGCTGGGCGCCTCCACCGCCCGTACCTGGCGGGCTGGCCGGTCGGGTCTCCCCGCTGCTGGCGGGACCCAGGCGCCCCGGCCTTCTGCCCCGGCCGGTTCTGCTCGCAATGGCGCCCGCTGCCTGTAGCTCGGGTGCCGACTGCCCGAAAGACTGACAGACTGACAGCCCCGAAACTTCGCAGGGAGGGGAGAGGAAAAGACGCGGAGGGAGCGGGAGCGGGGAAGCGGCGCCCGGCAGGGGGGAGGGGAGCGCGGAAGCGGGAGGGGAGCAGCCGGGCACCCAGTGGGGGAGGTAGGGGCAGGGGGGTGCTGGAGTGGGGTCGCAGGAAGGCGGCACGGCGGGGACAGGCGTGCAGGTGACGGTGTGGAGGGACGGAGGCCCCGAGTAGGTGATGGAAAGTGGGAGCCTAGGAACGAGGGGGGGGGAGGGAAGAGGGGGAAGGGAAGGGAAGGGAGGAGTGTGGGGGGAGGGGTGGAGGAGGGAGAGGAGGCAGGGAGGAAGGGCACGCGGGCTGCGCGGGAGGGTGCTCGCAGGCGTCGAGGGAGGAGCCAGAGGAAAGGTGGAGCGCGAGGGGAGGGGGTGCGATGAGGAGTTGGGGAGGGGAAGAGGAGGGGGCGTGCTCGGGGGAGGAGAGCCAGTGAGTGTCTGCGTCGCCGTCTTTGAATAGCGACCTCCCCCCCCCGCCCCCCGCAGTGTATCTGTGCCGCGCTTCTCGGTGGGGTCGAGTCTCCCGACTGTCGGTCTGTGGGGCTGGTCTGGGGAACTCCGACCCCGCCCCTGCTCTCCACCCGGATTCCACCCGGATTCGCTCAGACCCACAACCCCTGACCCCGATGCCGGAGGACCCGATGGGACACGCGCGGCGGGAGTCGGGTCCCTTGGGGCAGCGAGGGGTGGCCGAAGGAAACAGAGCTGGGCTTCAGTGCCGGCCGAGAATGGGCCCTTTGAAGCAGAAGTTGGGGTGGGGGTTTTTTGAGCCGGGTCCCCAGGGAGAAGGCAGGGCTGGAGAGGAGGCCAGTGAAGGGGACGGTGAGGCTGGAGACCCGCTGGGCGGAGACTCTGAGGGAGGCGTTCTGAGGAGGGGGCTGCGGAGAGGGGGCGCGCTGGGCGGGGTGGGCCTGGTCCTCCTATTGGCCTGGGAACCTGTAGCTGTTAGGTGTGGAGGGATGCCCTCAGCCCTCAGATCCGGTTTCTGGGGGACTTGGTGTTCCCACCGGGGTTATGATGGTTTTCTTGGGTCCTGCCAGCCGGGCACCTGACTCCTTCAGAAAGCTCCCTGTGCCCTGTCCTTGTCCAGCTGAAATGTGAGCTCTCTATTCCAGGCCCCCTCTCCCATCTCTCTTTCTCCAGTCTCCCCTGGCCTCCAGCTTCCTCCTTCCTGCCCCCTTTAGGGGAAAGGGACATGGTGACTTGGGGTTCTCCCCAATGCAAGTGTTGTTACCTTATCACCTCTGGTTAGAATCTGGAGCTGAGACTGGGCCCTCCCTGGAGAACCACAGCGCACAGCAGGGCACCATCAACTTTCCTCAAGTTTAGGAGAGGGGAAGGGGAGCAGGTGGTGCCTGGAAAAGCACGGGGGACCTCGGAATCAGCTGGGAAAGGCTCTTCAACCTCCTGGATGGGCTCCTTCAACTAGTCAGCGCCCAGTCGTCTCATGGCCCTGGGAGTAGAATGTGTCTCTTTGTGCTAGGTCATGAGCACTTGGGTGTGTGAGCATGTGAAGCAACAGGGGGAGAGTGTATGGGGTCTGCGTGTGAGAGATTAGGAACAGCAACGTGCCCATGGCCCAACCCTGGCCTTTTCTGAGGACCCGTCCTGAGAGCTCCCTGAGGGACTCACCGCACCCTCTCTGGGCCACAGGACCGAGGGTGGGCCCAGGAGAAATGCCTAGCGTGGCTCTGGTTCCCAGCAGCTTCCTTGCCCGAGGTGGGGTAACTATGCGCGATGGTCAGTGGGACAGCAGATTTAGGGGATGGAGGTTTATGGAATCTGAGGGTCAGGCCACATTCCAGCCCCGGTGTCCTGGGAGTTGGTAACCAGGATTTACCTGGGCCACCTGCTGCCCCTACCGGATACTCAGATGATCCCATCGGACTGCCTTGCCCCCAGGGTTGGGGGGGCTGCCTTTCCAGGCCCCTCTGTCTCCTACCCCCCCATGCACACTCGCACTTTCCACCCTTGCCTCTTCTCCCTGAGGCTTGCTCTGTTCCCCTGCCCAGGCTTCCTGGTTCTGGACCCTAGGAGACTTTCTCAAAAGGAAACCAGGATGGACCCAGCCATCCACACATAATCAGCCTCAGTGAGAGGTCAGACCACAGAGGAAAGGGCATAGGCTCCTCCACTGTCTCCACACAGTTCAGCCAGCCTGGAAACTCAACTCCTTCTGCTCACTGGTCCTGGCTTCTCAAGTGCCTACAGGGAAAGGGGGCAGGAAAGGGAGCGGGGAGAGAGAATCATAGCCAGAATTTGGGGGCTAGAAGACCGTATCAGTCATTTGGCACAATAACAGCCGTTTTGTGGGGTCATAGTTCCTTTTGAGAACTTAATAACAGTTATAGAACTATCCTTGGGAAGATGGGTACACACACAATTTCTTTCTTTTTAAGATTTATTTATTTGCGAGAGCTCGCGTGCGCAGGTGCAAGGTGGGAGGAGGGGCAGAGGGAGAGAGAGAATCTCAAGCAGACTCCACGCTGAGTGCTGAGTGCAGAGCCCTAACCTAGGGCCTGATCCCATGACCCCGAGATCATGGCCTGAGCCCAAACCAAGAGTCTGACACTTAACCAGCTGAGTCGGCCAGGGGCCCCAGCACACACACAATTTCAAAGTGGAGCCGCCAAGCCATCCCCCCCCCAACACACAAGCATCCCTGGGAAGCCCCTAAATTTTTTACTGACAAGGAAATTGAGGCTCAGAAAGAGAAGGTGGCTTGTCCAGAGTCCACCTGAATTGTGGTACAGCCTAAGGGGGGGGATATCAGAGGCTCAGATATTATCTGAGCTGTGTCCTGGGGCACATGCGCTCCTCCAGTGAGCGTTCAGACACATGCGCGCACATGCATACACACGCTTACACACACACACACACACACACACACACACACAAAAGGGGCAGGAAGGGGACTGTTGCCAGGGAGAGCGGTCCTCTGTGCGGATTTCACAATGCGCAGGCAGGTCCAATCTGGTTCTGAGCAGCTGGTGCCCCAGGGCATGGGGCTGAGATAAAGCCTCCCCAGCCCCAGGGGCCTCCTTCTAGATGTCTGGGCTGCCTTGGACACATTGACGCCTGATTGTTGGAGACCGCAGTGTGGGGTAGGGAAGGCCAGCACTGGCCTTTCTGCTCACCTGCCACTGTCTTCCCCCGGCCCCAAGGCTCACAGCCCTGCAGAGGACCTGGGCGGGGAGCGCCATGCTTCTCTCTGCCCTCCTCTTTGGGATGGCCTGGGCACTGGCTAACGGGTAAGCAGCCCAGCCTGGGGTCCCATTCACTAAGATCCTCTGCTCCGGCCTCACGAACAGGACCCTCTGCAGCAGCCGGTGCTTCTGGCTCCCACCAGCCTCCTTTTCAGTTCACTAACCTTTCCCCGGGAGGGGCTTTATTGGGAGTGGGCTCCCAGGACAGGGCTTCTTGGCAATAGAGGGGCTGGTGGCAGCAGCTGTCATTCCCCATCTGCGGGCAGCCGGTGGTGTGAACATACAGAAACCTTCCTGGTGGAGGAGGAAGTGACCCCCCGCCAGGAGGACCGGGTGCCTTGCACCAGCCTCTACCATTACCAGCGCCTGGGCTGGCAGCTGGACCTGTCCTGGAGTGGACGTGCCGGGCTCTGTCCCATCTACAAGTGAGTGAGGGTCGGAGCCTGGGTTAGCTGCTGAGCAGGAGAGAGCCATGGGGCCAACATTCTGGGCGGAAGGGGAACTGGGTGGTGTCCTGGAGAAGCAGGCATTTGGGCAATAGGTCTGGCTGGGTTCAAGAAGAGTCAGGGGTGTGGGATTGGGGACAGGTAGTGCAGGGAGAGGTAGGATGCCTGTTCCCTGTGCCTCCCTCCAGTCTGCCTTCCGAACATCATTCTCACTTTGCACAAGGGGAAATTAAGACCTGGAAGAGATGGGGCGCTTGGGTGGCTCAGTTGGTGAAGCATCTGCCTTGGGATCAAACCCTGTTTGGCATCGGGCTCCCTGCTCAGCTGGAAGTCTGCTTCTCCATCTCCCTTTCCCCCTCCCCTCCCTCTACCCCTCTCCCCACTTGTACTCACTCTCTCTCGCTCAATCTCTCTGAAATAAAATCTTTACAAAATATATTAAAAAAAAAAAAAAAAGACCTGGAAGGGAAATCACATGAGAAAGTCACTCAGAGAATAAATGACCAGATTGACTGTCCCAGGCCATTCTCAGGGACAGGGATGGGGCTGGGCTGAATACTAACATCTTCTCACTGCCGCCTCTTCGGTGGACCCAGACCCCCAGAAACCCGGCTCGCTGCAAGGAACCGGACAGTGAGGGCTTGCTGCCCAGGCTGGGGGGGCACCCGCTGCACCCTGGGTAAGCACCTACTATTAGCCCAGATCTGTGGTTTCAGGGAGGCTGTGGGGGAGGGAAGCTGGGTCCAGGCTGACTGTCTGGGTCGCCCCATTCTCTCTCTCCACCCACCACAGCCCTTGCAGAAGCCACCCCTGGGGGCCACTGCTTTGCCACGCGGCAATGCCAGCTGCAGGCAGGCTCGGCTAATGCTTCGGCGGGAAGCCTGGAGGAGTGCTGTGCTTGGCCTTGGGGACACAGCTGGTGGGATGGCAGCTCCCAGGCCTGCCTCAGCTGCTCTAGCCGACACCTCCCGGGTCAGTCTGCAATGGTAGCCATCACTTTCTCCCCCTGACCAGGCACTGCCCCCATAGAGTTCTTGAGCTCTGGGCCTTTTTGCAGGGCTCAGACCCATTCCCTTGTGCTCTCGGATGAGTCACCTCCCACCCCTTCCGCCTCCAGAGTGACCATTCCCTCTCTACCTGCCTCCTGTTCTGGGAGAAGCCCCAAGTCCCCGTCCTCCATCCTCCTGCCATCACACTCAGCCACTCACCACAGCTTGTGTATCTCCTCCAGGCAGCGCTCCCTCTCCAGCCGTCCTGCAGCCCCTGGCGGGGGCCGTGGCCCACTTCTGGAGCCAGCGCCAGCAGCCCTCGGCCACCTGCGCCACCTGGTCAGGCTTCCACTACCGCACCTTTGATGGACGCCACTACCACTTCCTGGGCCGCTGCACTTACCTGCTGGCGGGCACCGCGGATGCCACCTGGGCAGTCCACCTCACGCCCAGGGGGCATTGCCCCCAGCCTGGGCACTGTCAGCTGGTGAGGGAGGGAGACGGGGGGAGGACCCAGGAAGGGAGCTGGACACGGGGAAGAGGTGAGCCACTGAACACCTCTTCCACTCTGTGTCTCCCCCCAAGGCCCGAGTAATGATGGGACCTGAGGAGGTGCTGATCCAGGGCAGAAATGTCTCTGTGAACGGGAAGCTGGTACCTGACAGGGAGTCTCGGCTGCTCCATGGTACTGTAGGGAGCGGCAGACTTCCCGGGGCCCCCTGTGTTCCTTGGGAACCGCCTGCCTATCTCCTGGGGCAGGGGACAGCAAAAGGGGCAGCTGAGTGGGAGACTGCTGCCCCGCCCCTACAGCGACTGGGAGGTTTTGGGACATGAGGGAGGGAGGGAGTCCGCTGAGGAGGCAGGTCAAGGACCTAGTCTCCAAGGTGATTCCAGCAAGCCACCCCTCCTCCCTTAGCCCCTCACAGCGTGGCTTGGGGCAAGGCCCTCGGCTTAACCTCTTTGAGTGTCAGGATGCCTGGCGGCTCTGTCTATAAAGCCTGGGATTCTCCATCTCAAGGTTGGGATTTTGAGCCCCACGTTGGGTGTGGAGATTATTTAAAAAGAACATCTTTGGGGTACCTGGGTGGCTCAGTGGGTTAAGCCTCTGCCTTCAGCTCAGGTCAAGATCTCGGGGTCTTGGGATCAAGCCCCGCATCGCATCGGGCTCTCTACTAGGCAGGGAGCCTGCTTCCCGCCGCCTCTCTCTGCCCGCTTCTCTGCTTACTTGTGATCTCTCTGTCAAAAAAAAAAAAAAAAAAAAAATAAAAAAAAAAAAAGAACATCTTTAAGGGGCGCCTGGGTGGCTCAGTTGGTTAAGCCTCTGAACTCTTGATTTCAGCTCAGGCCATGATCTCGGGGTCCTGAGATGGAACCCCCATATCACGCTCTAAGCTCAGCCGGGAGTCTGCTTGGTATTCTCTCCCTCCTCCTCTGCCCCGCCCCCTGCTTGCATGCATAATCTCTCTCAAATAAATAAATCCTTTGATAAAATCTTTAAACAAACCGCTTTCCCAGCCTGCCTCCCAGTGTGCTGTGAGGAAGGGCTTTTGTGCTGTTAGGTGGGACCCTCGCCTACTAGACCTTTTCTCCTGGTCTTGGCTCCACCAAGTGAGGCGGAGCTGGGGCTGTGTGTGTCGTCACTAGAGCTCTGAAGTTTACTTATCCCTTGTAGTCACTTGCTCAAGAGAGCATCTGTAGTGTTCATGAACTTCTCAAACAGGGCTCTGATGGGAAAACCAGTTGCTTCTCCTTTAAAGAGTATGAAGTGCAGAATTCTGTAGAATTGTCAGAATTCTCTCTCCTCTCCCTCCCTGGGCAGTCTGCACCTGGGTGTGATGGTGGGAGGGGCAGGGAGTGTGACTCCCTCCTTCTCCTGCCCAGGGCTGAGCCTGCAGTGGCAGGGGGACTGGCTGGTGTTGTCCGGGGGTCTGGGGGTCACCGTACGCCTGGACAGGTCCAGTTCCATCTCTGTTTCTGTGGACTCTGAGCTCCAGGGACAAACTCAAGGTCTCTGTGGAGTCTACAATGGCCAGCCCGAGGGTAAGTGGGCGTGACTCGGTTGCTGGTGTAGGAGGGAGGGAAAGACTGGAGAGCCCAGACCCGGCACCTCTCTGGCTTGCCCTCCCCCAGATGACTTCCTGGAGCCTGGAGGGAGACTGGCTGTGTTAGCTGCCACCTTTGGGAATTCCTGGAGGATCCCTGACTCGGAGGTGAGACTACAGGCTTCAGGGAGCCCGGGCTCACTGCCCGGCTCCTGGTTGCCCCCCTGCCCATTCCTGGCTTCTCTGATACCTTCAAGCCTCTGCTCTTTGTCTTCATCACTGGCCTTTTCCCTGGGACGGGGCCTGGCCTGCTCCCGGATCCTTGGTGAGGGGCAGGCTCAGAGTCCCACGGGATTAAAGTGGTGAACCCACCGACCAGGGGACACACCCAGCAACCTGGTCACTGACCAGTTTTGGGTTAACTGGCTAGTTATGAAACCTCCTGCCTGTGGGTTGATGTGACCCCCCACCAGTTCCCCCAACCCCTACCAGAGCTGACAATCTAGTTGCCCCATCCCCCAAACCCCAGGATGTCTGGGCTGGCAGCCATGACAATGGGGACTTCGGGCACCTACGAGGGTCGGGTTGTGGTTGCTTTCCTGGTGTCCTGGTTAATGTCTCTTATCCCCCATTGGCCTGAATTTCCGTGTCTCCAGCCTGGGTGTCTGGATTCAGCAGAGGCGGCCCAGGGCTGTGAGGGCCCCCTGAGCAGCTCAGAGGCAGGCATGCAGGCTGATGCCCATGATGTGTGCTACCAGCTGCTGGACAGTCCCTTCAGGGAATGCCATGCCCAGGTACGGGTGGGGGTATCAACCGCCGGAGGGACGGGAAAGAGTGGGTTCTGGAGGGGAGCCGAACAGGGAATCGGGTCCTGTCACTGCTTTGCATGTAGGATCTCAGAGGTCCCTTCTAGTGCTCACTGTGTTTGATTATAAGTCAGCGCATGACTGAAGCAAGAGCAAGGAGTGCTGGTGACTCAGGGGCTGTCCTTTCTCTGAAGGTCCCCCCTGCTGAGTACCACCAGGCCTGCCTCTTTGCCTACTGTTCTGGGGCCCCAGCAGGCAGTGGGCGAGAGGCCCGTCGGGAAGCCGTGTGCAGCACCTTGGCCAACTATGCCCAGGAGTGTGCCAAGCAGCACATCCACGTGGGCTGGAGGAAGCCAGGCTTCTGCGGTAGGGCTGGTCCCTGGCACTCCTTGCAGAGCTCCTGACCTCCCCACCCTGCAGAATCGAACCCACCGATGGCAGCCCTGTGGCCCCTGCTTCCTGAGCGCTGGGCCTCCTCCCAAGCACCCTCTCTGCGGGCTGCGGGCAAGGGGTGGGGGTCTGGCGGGGGGCTGGCGGGAGGAGGGGAACCCTCGGAACTCACAGCCCACTCGTGTGCCCACAGAGCGTCTGTGCCCGGGGGGCCAGCTCTACTCAGACTGCGTCTCGGCCTGCCCACCCAGCTGCTCAGCAGTGGGGGACGGAGGGGAGGGGTCCTGCCGGGAAGCGTGCGTGAGCGGCTGCGAGTGCCCGCCCGGCCTCTTCTGGGACGGCGCCTTCTGTGTGCCTGCTGCCCGCTGCCCCTGCTACCACCGGCGCCGGCGCTACGCTCCCGGGGACACCGTGCGCCAGCTGTGCAACCCGTGGTGGGTCCGCGGGCCTCGCTGGGTCTTGGGCTGGGGTTGGAGGCCGCGTGGTCCCCTCGGAGCCCTCCCTTATGCTATCTCCTCAACCTGCCTCCCCTTCCGGGGGGCCCCTCACATGGGACCTGTGACTTCTCATGGCATAATTGATGGCCCTGCTTAAAGACCTAGCCAGTGATCTCCGCCGGCTGACCTCCAGGCCTTGCAGGGTTAGAGAGGGGTGGCTGCGGGAGGGAGGGCCACGGGGTTTGTTGAGGGCGGGGAATCGTGGGCGCTGCATCTGAGCGCGCTCCCCGCCCTGTGTGCCCGCAGCGTGTGCCAGGACGGCCGCTGGCTCTGCGCGCAGGCGCCGTGCCCAGCCGAGTGCGCGGTGGGCGGGGACGGGCATTACCTCACCTTCGATGGGCGGAGCTTCTCCTTCCGCGGCAGCCCGGGTTGCCGCTCCAGCCTGGTGCAGGTGGGTAGGGCGTTAATGCCAGGAGGAGCCCTCGCTGGGGTGCTGTAGGGGAGAGGTGACTGTCGGGAAACCTCTACATAAATCGATGAGAAACACACAGCCATTTCGGGAAAAGCTGAGAGAGAATCGACTCTGGAGGCAGGATGGCTTGCCGCAGACCCATAAACCTCCCCTTAGGTTCCGCGACGGCTCCTAACTTAGCCCTTGGACACAAGGCAAAATCCATCCTCACAGTCCTTTCTCACAGATGGCACAGGCTGGGCTTATCACAGGCTATTTCCTGCAAAACAACCCGAGGAGAAATATGGGTTCTCCTTCCTCCCCAGCCCTCTTCCAGCCAAGTTAGGTGACTTACCAAGTTCAGGTTCATGGACACAAACAGGTGTGTACTTCACTGCAGATTTAGCGCGTGCACACACAGAGACAGAGAGCAGAGCATCCATACCCACTGGGAGAGGGGAGGGGAAGGCATCTTGCACCAACACACACACACCTCCACATACTTGCACACACCTGTATGCACATGCACGTAGAGATACTCACAAGTGCCAGCGCTTGCCAGGGTTAAGCCCCACACCTGCCGGCGTTGGGTAGAGCAGGAGAAGGTGCAGAACAGACACTGTTCTCTGGGTCTCGCCCACCCCCACCCTACCACATTCCTCACCATCTGCCCCAGGACCTGAAGGGGCAGCCGCTGATTGTGCTGGAGCATGGGGCTTGTGACACTGGGAGCTGCCTCCACGCCATCTCTGTGTCCCTGGGAGACACGCACATCCAGCTCAGAGACTCAGGTAGCCCTCTCCTGGGATGTGCTCACCCCCAGTCCTCCTCAGCCCCGCCCTGCAGGAGCAGCCCCTCACAGGCCCTTGTTCCAGGAGCTGTACTCATCGATGGGCAGGACGTGGGCTTGCCATGGAGCGGGCCCAAGGGCCTCAGTGTTTCCCGCGCCTCCTCTACCTTCCTACTGCTGCGCTGGCCTGGGGCCCAGGTCCTGTGGGGAGTGTCTGACCCTGCAGCCTACATCACTCTGGACCCCCGCCATGCCCGCCAGGTATGCTGTGGGGCCGGCGAGTGGCTGGACCAGGCCACAGTGGGCCCGGATGTGACTGCCCCATGCCCACTCCTCTGGCCCAGGTGCAGGGTCTGTGCGGCACCTTCACCTGGAACCAGCAGGATGACTTCCTGACACCTGCCGGCGATGTGGAGACCAGCACAGCAGCCTTTGCTAGCAAGTTCCAGGTGGCAGGCGAGGGAAGGTGCCTCTCAGAAGACAGCGCCCTACTTTTCCCCTGCAGCACCCACACTCAGCGCCACGTTTTTGCAGAGGCAGCTTGTGCCATCTTGCATGGCCCAACCTTCCAGGTAGCCAGACTGGGGGGAGGGGGCTGTTCGCACATGGAAGATGGGGTCAGCACCTGCTCTGCCCTCCTCTTGGGCTCTGGGGAGGGCCCAACTCCCTGCCGTGGCAAGGGGTACCAAGCACAGAGAGTTGGTCAAGGGGGCCCGAGGGGACAGGGGAATCTGTGGAGGAGGAGCCAACCCAATTTTTCCTCCGCTCCCCCCTCAGGAATGCCAAGGGCTGGTCGACAGGGAGCCGTTCCACCTGCGCTGCTTGGCGGCCGTGTGTGGCTGTGCTCCTGGCAAAGACTGCCTGTGCCCTGTGCTTGCTGCCTTTGCTCGTCGCTGTGCCCGGGAGGGTGCCCTGTCTCTCTGGAGGTCCCAGACACTGTGCCGTGAGTCTGCTCAGCCAGCCAGCCCCTTCCAGGAATAGCCCAGAGAGATCCCAAGGAAGCCCTCTGACCTGAGCACATTGCTGGCTTTGCCGTCTCTCAGAGGCCTGGGGGGTGTGAATTCCAGAAGGGCGGGCAGAGCAGCGGCAGTCATGCCCCTGACCTGCCTGTGTCTCTGTGTCTCTGCATCCAGCTGTCCCGTGTCCCAGCGGCCAGGAGTACCAGGAGTGTGCCCCAGCGTGTGGTCAAAACTGTGGGGAGCCAGAAGATTGTGAGGAGCTGGGGAGCTGTGTGTCTGGTTGTAACTGCCCCTCAGGACTGCTACGGGACCCCGAGGGCGAGTGTGTGCCCCCCAGCTTGTGCTCCTGCCAGCTTGGAACTCAGCGCTATGCACCTGGCAGTGTCACCACGAAGGACTGTAACCACTGGTGAGGGCGGTGGCCTTGGGGGAGGCAGAGAGCTGGAGGGTAAAGAGATGGAGCTTAGAGAAGAGGGGCCAGGCTTGCAGCACTGTGGGTTAGGGCCTGGCATGCATACGTGGGGCGACAGTGCAGTCCTAGCTTCGCCCTGGTTGTGGAGCACTTCAGGCCCAGAAAGCACTCCAGTATGTTCTCTTATTTAATTCTGCTGAATTCTTACAACGACCTGATAAAGTAGGGAGGGGAAGAATTGTTCCCATTTTGCAAATGAGGAAACTGAGGCTCGAGTAGGCTACATGGCTTGCAGAGTCACATAGAGATGAAGGACTAGGACCCAGATCTCTGAATTCTGGTGTAGTGTGGTCCAGAGGCTCCTCCAAGGGTTAGGGAGAAGTAAAGGCCAGTTCTGGACCTGGGGACACAGAGCCAGTGGCTGGGGCTTTGTGGGTGAGGAAGAGACTTCAGGGAATCCCTCTCCTACCCGGCTGGGGGTGGGCTTCTTCGAGAACCTCAGAGCCCAGAGAATGGCCCCACTGGAGCTGGGGACACCATGTCCATCCCAGGTATGGCTGGTGCTGGGAGCAGCCCTACTTCCCGTGCTTATAATTGGGCTGTGGGGGGTGAGATGCTCAGGTCTCCGGAGTCAGCATTAGGGGCTTGGACCCCCTGGGTTCCTGAGGCTCTCCCAGGTCAGACCAGAGGTGCCTGAAGGTAAGCCCTGTCTTGGGCCTGCTTCTTACCTGGCCCCTGTCCTCGGCAGTGTCTGCCAGGAGAGGGGCCTCTGGAATTGCTCTGCTCAGCGTTGTGACCCCCAGCGGACATTCTGCCCCGGTGACCTTGTTTATGTCCCTGGTGCCTGCCTTCTCACCTGTGACAGCCCTAGAACCAACCACTCCTGCCCCCCAGACAGCATGGGAAGCTGTGTCTGTCCCCCGGGCACTGTGCTGCTGGTAAGTCTGGGAGGGGGCTGCAAGGGGCATCGCAGGGCCTGCTGTACCCCAGGGCACTGCCCCAACCCCCCTGGCTGTCTGAAACACTGGGTGGCGGGTCAGGCAGCCCTCCAAGGTGCCCCTTTGTCCCCGACCTCTGCCCAGCACGAGCGCTGCGTGCCTCCTGAGCTCTGCCCCTGCCGTCACGGTGGGCAGTGGTATCCGCCCAACGCTACCATCCAGGAGGACTGCAACGTTTGGTATGCCTAGCCCCTTCGAACTGGGATGAGCTGGGGTATCCAGACTGTCCTGGGCAAGGGAAGCTCTCCAGGATTCCCCCCACGCTGAGGGTCGGCTACTCGGAACCTGGACAGCTGCTTCCCCAGGATTCATCCTCACGCCTCTGTCTCCCCACCCCACCCCCACCCACAGCGTGTGTCAGGCTCGGCAGTGGCACTGCACAGGCCACCGGTGTGGTGGGTGGTGCCAGGCATCGGGCGCCCCCCACTACGTGACCTTTGATGGGCTGGCTTTCACCTTCCCCGGAGCCTGTGAATATCTGCTGGTGCGAGAAGCCGGCGGCCGCTTCACCATCTCCGCCCAGAACCTGCCCTGTGGGGCCAGTGGCCTCACCTGCACCAAGGCGCTGACCGTGCAGCTACAGAGCACCATCGTGCACATGCTCAGAGGTGGTGCGGCATGGAAGGGCGGCACTGCCAGCGGGGGGCACTCCAGCTGGCATTACATTTCTGCATGGGGGTGGGGGGCTGGGGCAAGGCCTGGGGTCCCCCACTGCTCACCATCAGTACAGCGGGGCTGGTGTCTCTCCTCTCTCTCTTCTTGGTTAGGAATCTGAATTCTGGAAGGTTCCAAGAAGTTAAGGCCCAGGGAGGTCTAATGACTTACCCAAGGTCACATAGCTGAAGATGCAAAAGGAAGGCTGGAAGCAGGCTGGGGAGGGGCTCCTAGGGATCCAGTGGCCTGTTGATTCCAAGGCAGAGCCCAGACACTTCTCTCCTTCCATAGGCCGGGCAGTGACAGTGAATGGGGTGAGCATAACGCCCCCCAAAGTCTACACGGGCCCTGGGCTGAGCTTGCGTCGTGCTGGTCTCTTCCTGCTGCTCACGACCTGCCTGGGCCTCAGCCTGCTGTGGGATGGAGGTCAGACTCCTGCGCTTAACCATCTGACCCGTGCCCGCCTTAGCATCATGAGGCTGACTCCCCCCACACTCTTCCCTTTCCGTAAGAGTGGTGGGAGTTCCCAAATTATGTTTTTAAAATTATGTTTTTCTTCAATGTAAAAGCAATACCTCCTCGCCAAGGAAACATTTAGAAAATACCCTGTTTGGGAAAGAAGAAATGAAAATAAATCTAACCTCCCACCACCCAAACCCAAGCAGTTGGCATTTTAGAAAAACAGTTACTGAGAAATGGAGGAAAGCTGAAGTAACCCCTGGCATGGGAGGCAGTTGCCTGGTCGGCACAGCAGGGCTGCCCTTGAGCCTCCGGCTATCAAGGCCTCTGGGGCTGGTGGGTGTCCCAGTCTGTCTTGGAGCCCGGTTCCCACCCGGAGCCCAGCCCGCTGGATCTGGTTAGGAGAGTAGGCTCCCACTTCTGCCCTAGCCCCTGAGACATACGCCCTTGGTCTTCTCCCACCCCTGAGGAAGGCCCATGGGGTCATTTCTCCACCATGCTGCCCCCTCTGCCCAGGCACCCGGGTCCTGGTGCAGCTGTCCCCGCAGTTCCACGGCCGCGTGTCTGGGCTGTGTGGAGATTTTGATGGAGATGCCAGTAACGACCTGCGGAGCCGCCAGGGCGTCCTGGAACCCACTGCTGAGCTGGCTGCCCACTCCTGGCACCTGAGTCCACTCTGCCCTGAGCCAGGAGACCTGCCACACCCCTGCACCGTGAGCACGGGCAGGCAGGGGGAAGGGTGTGGGTGGGTGGGGGGAGCTGCAGGCAACCTGCGGGGCCGGACTGGGTGCTGTGGGTGGAGTCTGGCTGGTGTACGGCACTGTGCCCGCAGGTGAACGCCCACCGGGCCAGCTGGGCCCGTGCCCGCTGCGCGGTGATGCTGCAGCCCCTCTTTGCCCGCTGCCATTCAGAGGTGCCCCCGCAGCAGCACTATGAGTGGTGTGTGTATGATGCCTGCGGGTGAGAGGGGCGAGCCGGGGGATGGGGGGGAAAGGGTGGGGAGGGGGCGGGGAGGGGGTCCGGCAGCTGAACAATGCCTTTCACAGCTGCGATTCTGGGGGCGACTGTGAGTGTCTCTGCTCGGCCATTGCCACCTACGCAGACGAGTGTGCCCGGCACGGGCTCCCCGTGCGCTGGCGCAGCCAGGAGCTCTGCCGTGAGTGCGCCCTGCCCTCGGTCCCCAATGCCCAACCCCACCGTGCCTTCCGTTCCTCCTCCGTGGATGTTCCTCCTGGCCTGCAGGCAAGCCCTGTATGCTTTCAAGGGCAGATACTTGTGGTGGACACACTTTTCTAGATGAACCAAGCACGCGGAGCTTGCTTTCCTGTAGAACCTTCATGTTGTAAACAGCCTTGGGAGGGGCTCTGCGAGAGTCTACCCCAGGCCCCCCGCGCCGCCCCGTGTGTATCTTCTTGGGCTCGCTCGCCTGCAGCTGTTGGATCCTGGTGCCCTCGAGCCACCATGACCCAAGCTGCTCTCCTCTCCCCAGCTCTGCAGTGTGAGGGAGGCCAGGTGTATGAGGCCTGTGGCCCCATGTGTCCGCCCACCTGCCATGACCATGGTCCCGAGCCCGGCTGGCACTGCCAGGCCATCGCCTGTGTTGAGGGCTGCTTCTGCCCTGAGGGGACCCTGCTGCATGGTGGGTAGCATCAGAATCTGCAGGAGGGAGGCAGCGCTGGGATGGGGAGGAGAGCCACATGACCGTGGTGACAGGGCTGGCACTAGGGGCTGCTATGTCCCCCCTTTTTAAAATACTTTATTTTTTTAAGACTTTACTTATTTATTTGACAAAGAAAGAGATCACAAGTAGGCAGATAGAGAGGGGGAAGCAGGCTCCCCGCTAGGCAGAGAACCCGATGCGGGGCTTGATCCCAGGACCCTGAGACCATGACCTGAGCTGAAGGCAGAGGCTTAACCCACTGAGCCACCAGGCGCCCCTGCTGTGCCCCTTTTGCTCCAGTTCTGTCCTCTGTAATTCCAGGAGGGGTCTGCTTAGAGCCAGCTTCCTGCCCCTGTGAGTCCGGGGGCAGCTTCTTCCCGCCGGGGACTGTGCTGCAGAAGGACTGTGGGAACTGGTGAGTGGGGGGGGGGCGGTTTCTGGAGAGTCCCCTGACCCCAGGCTGGCAAAGCCCAGCACTGTGACTGATCCCAGCTCGCTGTGTGCTCAGCACGTGCAAGGAAAGCCAGTGGCTTTGTGGGAGCGACAGTTCCGTGTGTGAGGAGCCAGAGCCTGGCTGTATGGAGGGAGAGGCCCCATGCCGCGAGAGTGGGCACTGTGTGCCCCACAGGTGGCTTTGTGACAACCAGGATGACTGTGGCGATGGCTCAGACGAGGAGGGTGAGTGTCCTTGCCCATGTGGGGCCGTTGATTGACAGGTCAGTCCTTGCGTGCGTCACTAAAACATGTCCTTAGCTGCTGCCGGTGTGAGCAGGTGGTGGGCAGGGCTGGTCTGGTCTTTCCGGGGTCGATGGAGGAGTGTGGCTCCTCTAAGACCTTTGTCATCCTGACCCTGCCTGCTTGCCCCCTGCCAGGCTGTGCCACGCCAGGCTGTGGGGAGGGCCAGATGTCTTGCAGCTCCGGCCACTGCCTGCCCCTGGCCCTGCGCTGTGACGGGCGGGACGACTGTGGAGATGGGACGGATGAGCAGAGCTGCCCTTGCCCCCGTGGCTCACTGGCTTGCACTGATGGGCGCTGCCTGCCCCTGGCCCTGCTCTGTGACGGGCATCCCGACTGTCCAGATGCTGCTGATGAGGAGGCCTGTCTGGGTGGGTGGTCTAGTTCAGCACTCCAGTCCACCAGGCACCCCCTCCCACAAGGCCTGTCTTGTGAGCCCCAAGCTTCTTGCCGCCCCTCCTTCCCCTGAAATTCAGGTTCCTGCTAAGAAGCTGGCACCTGGAGATGTGGGAATGGGGCATCCCAAACAGCAAGCTTAAGGGGCAGGACCCTGGGACCAACTTCCTCTTTTCTCTGGCTGCAGGACAGCTGAACTGCACTCCCGGGGAGCTGTCCTGCGTTGATGGCACATGCGTGGGGGCCATCCTGCTGTGTGACGGAATCTGGGACTGCCCAGATGGAGCGGATGAGGGACCTGGGCACTGCTCCTTGCCTTCGCTGCCCATGCCCCCGGCTGGCACTCTGCCTGGCCCTTCCACTGGCTTTGGGATGATTGCCCCAACTCCCCCCGCCAGCGCCAGCCCTGGTGAGTGTCCTGGAGGGAAAGGGGGAGAGCTGGAGTCCTGGGGAAGAGTGTTGGGGGGAGCATCTCAGAGGGAGGTATTGGGGCAGGTGGTGGGGTGAGGAGCGGGCACAGACCAGCCTCCTGAAAGGGGTTTGAGAGGGCCTGGAAGAGTCCCGACCTTACTTCCTGACATCTGAGATGCTCCCACTGATGTGAGGGGTTTGGGGTGGCCCATGGAATTCCTGGGCGAGGGGAGACCTTTTGGGAAACCAGTGGGGTGGGGTGTGAAATGCGGGAGCGCGTGGACTTAGGGAGAGGCTGGAAGTGCGGGAAGTCTGGGCACAGGAAAGGGGCCTGGCTGGCGGGGAGCCCCTCACCCCGCCAGGTCTAGCGCGGGTGCCCCCGCAGCGCCACCCTGCGGCCCCCTCGAATTCCGGTGCGGCAGCGGCGAATGTGCGCCCCGGGGCTGGCGCTGCGACCAGGAGGAGGACTGCGCCGATGGCAGCGACGAGCACGGCTGCGGCTGGCCCTGCGCCCTGCACCACGTGCCCTGCGCCCGCGGCCCGCACTGCGTGTCCCCCGCGCAGCTGTGCGACGGCGTGCCGCACTGCCCCGACGGCTCGGACGAGGGCCGCGACGCCTGCGGTGAGAGCCCGGCTGGCGCGCGCAGCGGGCAGGGCCGGTCTCTCCCCACCCCCACCCCCAGCCGCACCCCTGCGGCCCCGGGGACAGCCACTTAGGTCTGCGGCATCAGAGCCTTTGATCTTTTTCATGAAATTCTCTTTGAAGACTGTTGCCCTCCCACCCAGGCCCAGCAGAGAGAAGGGGCTTTTGTCTTTGCCCACATTTGGGCAAGAAGGGGTGAGAAAGTTGGCCTGTTTGGAGGGTGACCCCTCCAGCCCCACCCCAGCGACCCGCGAGTTCCTTCTGTGCCCCTGCAGATCAGCCCTTTCTGTCCCTGGGGGGAGGGGGCCGCTGTCCACAGGCCCCTCCTGGACCCCCCCCCCCCCCCCCGCCCCGCAAAGGTGTTTTTGAGCTAGTTTCAGGTACAGTGTTGGCTCTGCCTCCTGCTTGCCCTCCCCTTCTGGGGGCATTTTGTCCCCTCTGCCAGTCCTTGTGCAGACAGAGGGTAGCAGGTGCAGAGGCTCAGCGGGACACTCTCCACACTCCCCACTGCGGTTTGGCTGTGCCTGAACCCCTAGCAGCTCTGCGACGGAATCTCTGACTGTTCCCAGGGCAAACATGAGCTGGGCTGTGGTAGGGACACCGGGCCCCTGATGGAGGCCAAGGCTGGTTGGGGGGGGTGGGCCGTCTGACTCCAGGCCTGATTTCTTTTCTCTTCCCTTCCCCGCAGAGGGGACGACAGCCCCAGGAGGCCCCAATGGGACCAGGGCTCCCTGCCCGGAATACTCCTGCCCTGATGGCCTCTGCATCAGTTTCCGGCTGGTGAGTGGGGGAGGGGAGTGGGTGGCACAGGAGGCAGAGCCATCGTGACACCCCGCTCAAAAGCAACCTTGCTCCTTTCCCTTCCCCAGGTGTGTGACGGGCAGCCTGACTGTGAATCGGTGGGGGACCTAGGGCCTTCCCCAGAAGAGCAGGGCTGTGGGGCCTGGGGTCCCTGGAACTCATGGGGGCCGTGCAGCCGGACATGTGGGCCCGGGGTGCAGGGCCGGAGCCGCCGCTGCTCCCCCCCTGGTCTCCCGGTGCTGCAGCACTGCCCAGGCCCGGAGCACCAGACTCAGGCCTGCTTCACGGCTGCCTGCCCAGGTGAGGGGCCTAGGGTGCCTGGGAGGGCCAGCAAGAGGGAGGGAGAGGAAGACCACTGGGCTCCCAGCCCGGCCTCCTGCCCCCCCAAACCCCAATCTGTCTTGCCCCTCCTGCTTGCAGTGGATGGCGAATGGACCCCCTGGTCTCCCTGGTCCCTGTGCACTGAGCCGTGCATGGGCACTGTGACCCGTCAGCGACAGTGCCACCCCCCCCAGAATGAGGGCCGGACCTGTGCCATGCTGCCTGGGGACCCTCCCACCACCCGCCGGAGCAGTGAGTGCAAGGAAGGAGGGCCCAGCTGGGAGGAGGGCGTGGAGGGCTTGCCGGTGGGGGGCTTACGTCCACAGGGGACTCACCTTGCTCAGACTCTGGTTCTGATTTTCTCTCAGGGCCGTGCCCTCAGGCCGGCTGTCCCAATGCCACCTGCTCCGGGCAGCTGGTGTTCTGGCCCTGTGCCCCCTGCCCTCTGACTTGTGATGAAATCTCTGGTCAGGCTGAGTGTGCGGCTACCCGGCCCTGCAGCGGCCCTGGTAAGGGGGACTCGGGGCCCAGGGGGCAGCAGGGGTATCTGCGGAGGTGGAGCTGTCTGCAGGGAAGCCTCACCCCACGCCTCCCGTAGGCTGCTGGTGCCCTGCCGGCCAGGTGCTGGACAGTGAGGGCCGGTGTGTGGGGCCCCAGCAGTGCCCCTGCCTGCTGGACGACACCTGGTACCGGCCGGGACAGCGCATCAGGGCCAACTGCCAGCTCTGCACCTGCCAAGACGGACGGCCCCAGCGCTGCCGGCCCAATCCAGCCTGCTCTGGTGAGGCCCCGCCCTTGGCCCTTCCCTGGGGGGCCCTCGTCCCCTCCCAGGCCACCCAGCTGGGCCCCCAGCCCTCTTCTGGCCCCTGACTCTTGGTCCTCCCTCAGTGAACTGTGGCTGGTCCTCCTGGTCCCCCTGGGCTGAGTGCTTGGGACCCTGTGGGACCCAGAACATTCAGTGGTCCTTCCGGAGCCCCAACAATCCCCGCCTCTCCGGCCACGGTCGCCAGTGCCGGGGCATCCACCGCAAGGCCCGCAGGTACGGACACCCACCCCGGGCACCTGCAGGGACCCTTACCCCTCACTTTCGACTCCCAGTTAGGGAGCTGCTGGGGAGCTCTCTCTCACTTGAGATGCTTCCATATGTAACATGGAGCCTAGATGAGGAACTCCCCCAACTCTGAGCCCTATTAATCTCAACACCAGGACTCCCAGCGCAGTTTTGGGGAACCCCTGGCCTTCTCCTGCATCAGTTTATGCCCTCCAAATCTGAAAGAGGGATGCGGGGAGCCCAGAAATCTAGGGGCAGGTATGGGTCCTCTGGTCAGCTCGGTGGGAGGGATTGCAGGGGTGTAGCCATATCCGCCTGCCCAGCCCCCGCTGAAATGGGCTCCACAGGCCAGGGTTTGGGCACAATTTGCTCCCACGCCTCTCTCTGGGGCCAGCTGCAGTTTCTCATGGGCAGGGGTAGCATCTGGGTGACAGGGAGACTACGCATCCCAGTTGACCCAGGGCTTTCCCGGGCCTATCACTGGAAGTCCCGAGTCCTGGGAAGCCACCCACTCTAGGTAAATCAGGACAGGCTGGTGGCCTGGGGGAGCCCACTGGGTGGGCAAGCAGCAGCCCTTCTTCCAGGTGCTGGACGGAGCCCTGCACGGGCTGTGAGCAGCAGGGCCGAGCCCACACAGTGGGGGAGCGCTGGCGAGAGGGCCCCTGCAGAGTGTGCCAGTGTCTGCACAACGGCACCGTGCGCTGCTCCCCCTACTGCCCACTGGGCAGCTGCCCCCAGGTGAGGGGACAGAGTGGGTGGGGTGGGAGGTGGAAAAGGGCAGCGTGCAGAGGCCAGGGCTGTGGGCAGCTGATAGATTGGGTCAGAGGTTGGCGTGTGGCCAGCTTGGCATGTCCAGCCCAACTCTTGTGTCTGCAGGACTGGATCCTGGTGGAGGGAGTGGGAGGCTCCTGTTGCCACTGCGCCCCCCCTGGTGAGTGGGTCTGGGGAATGACAGGGTCTGGGGAGTGGCAGACCTGCCAATGCTCTGACGGTAGGAGGATGGCAGGTGCTCAGCGGGAGCCCCAGAGTCAGGGGTCCATGGCTACCCCCGTGGCCTGGGTGGTGGGAGCCTGGGTCCTGGATGCTGGGGAAGGAAGGGGCGGTCTGGGTGGGAAGGGCTTGTCTCTGCCCTCCTAAGGTCAGGTCTCCATCTCTGCCTCCTCTGTCCTCTGGGGGCTTTCTGCCTCCCGCCTCGAGGGGCCTTTCTTTTCTCTGGTTCTGCTGGGCCAGATCTGGTTCCTTCTCTTTCCCCTAAGAGCAAGTAAGACGAAGTTGAACTTTTTTCAAGAGTATCTTTACTTGGAAACTGATTTACAAATGAAACTGGAAGGGGCGCCTGGGTGGCTCAGTTGGCTGAACATCTGCCTCTGGCTCAGGTTATGATCCCAGGGTCCTGGCCCCACGTCGGGCTCCCTGCCCAGTGGGGACCCTGCTTCTCCCTCTCCTCTTGGCTCCTGTTCTCTGTCGTTACCTCTATCTCTCTCAAAGAAATAAATAAAATCTTAAAATAAACAAACAAACAAGCAAATGGAACAGGAAAACACAAAGGCTTGAAAACTAATGCATTTATGGGTCCAGATTCTGTGTATGTAAAGTGTACCTACAGGCAGCTGAGGTTAGAGGAGAGTCAGTATACACAGTTGTACAGGTTGTTCACTGCACAAGTTAGTTGGCAAGTGGGAGCTAGACTCCAACTCCTGCTTCTATCCAAAGATACCCATTTATAGTACCCAGAAAGGTCCCCTATTAGCAGCAATAGCCCTGGATTGGGAACTGCAGCTGCTTAGTCCTGGTCCTGAAGTGGTTTTAGACTGGCGGTCTTATTCTACGTTCTCTAAATATTTGGTGGAAGTAGAAACCCCCAGCTCATTCCAAGGGAAGGAGGACAGGCCTTTCCCAGCTGGGAGGTTGTTCTGGGAGCTCTTGGGAAGTCTTGCAAGAGAAAGTGCTCCAAGAACTGGGGAGGGACTGGGTGCCAGGCCAGGGGCCGTTGTGAGCCTATCTGCAGGTCTCTCCCTCCTGAACCCTGAGTTTCCCTACATAGGTGAGAACCAGACGGTCCACCTCCTGGCCACTCCTGCCCCCTCTCCAGCCCTCAGTGCCCAGATCGGACCCCCTCTGGTCACCTACGTTCTGCCTCCGCCTGGAGGTGAGAGCCACTTGCTGTCGTGGATTGGAGAGTGGATATGACCCAGGGGTAGCCCAGCCAGGAGGGAGGCAGGGTCACTGGGATTTACCCCCACGTGCCATGGGAGGACGGTTATCCTAAGGATCTGGAAGTCATCCTCGCTCAAGCTGACTCTGCCCTTTCTGGACCTCCCTTCCATCCTGGGTCAAGATCAACACAGGGCCCTTGGCCTCCCTCAGCAACTCTTGGGACTTCCTGACTGTACCCCTGGCAGGGTCCTGCCACCCTTTGCCCTTCTCCAAGTCCATCCAGCCCCTCTCTCCTCTGCACCCAGACCCCTGCTATTCTTTGCTGGGCCTGGCCCGACTCCCTGAGGGAAGCCTGAAGCTGGAGCCCCCCACCCAGGCTGCCCTCCTGGGGGCTCCCACCGAGGGGCCTGGCTCTGAGGGTCGGAGCACTGGGAGGCACACCCGGCCCCCCTTCCTGCAGCTCAACCTGCTGCAGCCTAGGAACCTCACTGGTCAGTGTGGTGGGGGCGGGGCTGGGGGAATGGGTGGTGATGGTGGGCTGGGGGCGGGGCTGACTCGGCTCTGCCCGCTGCCCCATCCCCCAGGCATCATGGTGCAGGGGGCTGGGTCCTCCGCCTCCCTCCAGTTTAGCAGCGATGGTCTACACTGGCACAACTATACTGACCTCCTGTCCCCAGCCAAGGTAGGGCTACCCGAGCCTCCTGGGGCAGGGACCCACCATGCCTCTTTGTGGGTCCCACTGTCCTTGTTCCCGAGGGCCTTCCAGTCTCCCGGAGGGGCATTCCTACCTTAGAGGCCTGTTGAACACCTGTCAGTAGAAGGGACTGTCAGGAGGGTGTCACAGCCATTGCCGTGGCTGAGCTGCAGGGCAGCCGTGCAGAGCTCTGTGGGTGGAGGGGAGTAGGGTGACATCAAGTTCACTGAGAATCTCAAGGACCGTGTCAGGAACTGCTGGGACACAGCCCTGACCTTAGGAGGTTTGTATCCTCCCTGGGGAGACAAGCCTCATGAAGAAGGAGGAATGAGTCTATAACCACATATTTACTCTGAATTCTCTGTGTCTCTGGGGACACATGAATGGACACAGCCTGGTCCCAACCCTCGGGGCACCTGGGCCAGAACCCGCAGTCTTGAGGGAGCCTGATGATTCATGCCAGGAGAGCATGAGCTCTTTGTGCCTGGAAGTTTGGGGGGCTTGAACTGGATGGGGCCACTCAGTGGGGTCAGGGCAGTGGCCCAGAGAGAAGGCCAGCTCAGGCCTGGTGCACACCTGTCCCTACAGCTTTTTGCTTGGAACTCGGACGATGGGGCCCCCACAGTGCGGACTTTCGGCCGGATGGTGCAGGCACAGCACGTCCGGGTGTGGCCCCACATCAGCCATCGTGACGCCAACCACAGCATCTCCCCAGGGGTGGAGCTGCTGGGCTGTGCACCAGGTACCAGTGGGCTGGGGGTGGGCAGGTGCAGGGGGCGGGACAGATGGGAGCCCTCAGCCATGCCCTCCCACCAGTGTCCCCGCTGGAGGCGCCCCCGTGCCCAGGAGGTGGGCGCCGCTGCGCCGGTGCTGAGTGTGCCCCGCGGGGGGAGCTGTGCAACGGGGTGAAGGACTGTGAGGATGGCTCCGATGAGGAGGGCTGCACGCCCCCGCCCACCGCCACTGGCAGGTATGGGGGTGCCCTGCTGCCCAGCTTATCAGTGGAGGGGCCGGCCTGTGGGAGAGGCCCTGCGCTGCCTTCAGCCTTGAGGTGCCCATGGCTGGAGGCCCCTTCCCACCACGGGATTCTCGGAGGCTAGGCCCTTTCCCTAGAGTCTGGAGGTTAGTGGTTCTCACAATGTGGCCCTGGCCCAGCAGCAGCAGCAGCAGCGTCCCCCAGAAGTCATGAGCAACGAAGGTTCTCAGGCCCCAGCTCAGGCCTACTGAAACAGACCCTTGAGCCTGTAACAGGAATCTGCTTTGCGAGCCCTCCAGGGGCGTTAATACGCTGAAGACCAGTGGGATGGCGACCCCTTTGTCTCATCTTAGCGGGCAGTGCCCTGCTGGAGTGCCCCAGCCCTGCCCCGCTCTGGGCCCGCCCAGAGAGGACACTGGCGCCCTGCCTGGTGGCGGGGGAGGGGAGGGGGGCTCTGAGTCGGGAGAGCCCCTGGAGTCCCTCAGTGATTTGTCTTCTTAGAGTCTGGTCCGCAGCCACGACCCCAGCCCCGACAGCTTCCACCCAGCCCGGACCGCTGCCCACCCAGCCCACGGAGGTGAGTGGGGAGCAGCAGGCCCGGCAGTGCGGGACATGGGGAGCCCCGGCCCTGGGGCCTCAGCAGCCATGTTCGCTTGCCCTGCAGTCCTCCTCCCTCTCTGCCCTGTGCTTCCCTGTGCATCCCTGGTCGACTGGAGTCGGCCTCAGCCCGGGAGCCTTCTGGGGGCCAGCCCGGTACTGGACAGGGAGCTGGAGGCCGGAACGGCCAAGAAGCACAGGGCAGAGGCCTGTGCTGGAGAATTGGGGCGATTGGAGGGGTCTTCACCAATGACTAGTGAAGTTACGCCTGCTAGCCTGGCTCCAGGCCCTCAGGCGCTCAGAGCTGGGACGAGCCCTGATTGTCCCGGGGACCCCCCAAGGATTACTGGAAAAGGCTTGAAAGACAAGGGAGTTCTGTAATGTGGAGCCCCCTGAAGAAGAGCCCCGTCAGGAACCCAGAGGGGAGAGTGATCGCGGCTCCGAGACCCCCATGCGTGGGTGCTGGGGGAAGACAGGGGCTTGGGGGGGCACAGGAGCCGAAGCAGAATCCTAGGCAGTGAGAAGAGCCCCTGAACTCCCAGTACCTGGGGTGTCCAGCCCAGAGGTGTGCAGGGCAGTGGGGCTCCTCTCCCTAACTCTACCCTGCCCTTTGGGGACAAGGGAGGGTCTGGGGGACCAAGGAGCACTCCAGTGGGAATAAGTGGGTGCCTAGTCACCTAGTCACCAAGCAGAACTGCCTTTGGGGCCCAGGCTGCATGGGTGACTGAGCCCTCTCCCTTTACAGGCTCTGGGAGAGGCTGAGCGCGGGCATCCCTTGCAAGGGTCACCCATACCCGCCACAGGTAGGTGCACAAATTCCAGGCCCCTGTCCCCAGGCCCCAGGGGGAGCGACCGTTACATCTCAGCAGTCAGTCTCCTGCTGACCCCTGACACCGCTCAGTGGAGCAGGGTTGCCTCCAGGAGGAAGACCTGGTCACCACGGACACCTTGGCCAAATCCTGCCCTGCCCACCCTCCTGGATTCCAGGGTTGGACGCTCCGGGCTGGCTCCCTGGGCCAAGCCTGGGACCTACAGCATGGCTGCCTTCCCCAGGCCCCTGGCTGGGACAGCTCTCCCTGGGGCAGTGGAATGCTGCCTGCGCGCCCTCCGCTCGCCCACGAATGCGGCCAGGCACCCCTTTCGGAAGGGCTTGCTGGCAGCAAATGACAGGGAGGAGGGGCTCACCAAGTCAGTGTCGTCCTAAACTGGGCGAGGAAGGAGCTCCCGGCTGGTCACGTACAGGCCTTCCGGTGGCTGCCCGGTCTGTCACCTGCTCCTTAGCCTGAGGACAGGTGTCGCAGAGCAAGGCGGGGAAGGGGTGGGCCGTTCTTCTGTGAAACGCAGATGAAGCAACTTGTACCATCCCTTGCGTCCCTAACACGCAGACCATGGGATGAATTCTAGTATGATTCTAAATCTGCTTCTAGAAAAAATGGCTGTCGTTTAACACTCATCTTTTGTCAGCAAAGAAGTCTCAAACCCCTTTCTACTGTCGCTGTCAGGAAGTCGTCAGGTGCAGGGCCTTAAACAATGTACTGTCCCCTTGACTTGGAAGCAGCCCCTTGTGTCTCCTTGAGAGGCGGGGACACATCTCAGCTCCAACCTAAGCGCTTTTCTACTTTCGTGTAAACCCTCTCATGCTCCTTGGACTACGGAGTCCTACTTCATCGGTGATCCAAAGCCCCTCCGAAGGGGCAGGGTCTGGTCTGTCCTCATCCCAGAGCCTGGATGCCCTCCCGAGAGCCTGGGTCTGCTTCATGTCACGGGTGGGGAGCTGGCGGGCCTCATCCCTCCCTCTCCTGCACCTGCAGGGAAGGGGCCAGTGACTTGGGCCCCAGCTTCCGAGCCTCCTTACTTGAGTCCTGGGGAACCTGTGCAGATGGTGACCACCACCCCCACATCCCAGGTGACAACAGTGGCCCCTGCTGGTAAGATTCTGTGGTCTTCTGCTTGCTCAGCCCGTGCATCCCAACAACATTCCTGTTGGAGAAACAGAGGCTCCGGGGGGGTTAGCCACTTGGCTCAAGATGGCACACCTTGAGGTCAGGGTTGTGGAAGGACTTGGGCCACACCTCCTGAAACAGCTCACTTTGACTTTTCCATGGTCCCATGAGAGGGAGGAAGTGGGGGCACACCAGACGTCGGGAGGAGGGAGGATGCGGTGGGCAGGTGTCCCGTCAGTCGGCTGCGGTGGTGCCCACAGGCCAGAGCATCGCCCCAGAGCCCTTCCCACCTGCGCGGTGCAGCCCAGGCCAGGTGCCCTGTGAGGTGCTGGGCTGCGTGGAGCAGGGACAGCTGTGTGATGGCAGGGAGGACTGTCTGGACGGCTCTGACGAGAGCCACTGTGGTAAGCAGGGGGCCCTCAGGGCACCCTGGAGGGTTTGCAGTCACGGGGGTGACAGTGGCCAGAGGGCTTTAGGTTTGGGGAATTCTCTGCCTCCTATTCTGAGCTCATCTGGGAAGGAAATGTGAGAGGCGGTGGGTAGCAGAGAGTGAAAAGAAACAGCCAGGAATGTGTGTGTTTTGGGGGACGGTCAAAAGGGGAAACGGGACAGTTTCCAGTCCTAGCCTGTTTCATAAACCGTGTCTGATCTTTGAGGGGATTCCTCTAACTATCCGTCCATCCACCCGTCTACCATCCAAATATCCACCCACGCACCACTCACCCGTCCATCCTCCAGCCTTCCAACATTCACTCATTCCCATTCATTCCCCATCCATCTGTCCGTCCGTCCATCCATCCAAAGCAGATCGCTGTGCTCAAAACCTAGTCTCACAATCAGGGAAGGAGCACCCCTAGGAGCGCCCGTTGAAGAAGAGGGTCTCCGAGGAAGGAGCTGTTTTCTAGACACCCTCTCTCTGGACACTCAGAGCCATTAGCAAGCAGTGGCTGTGTGAGGGCCTCTAGCAAGCACAGCACCCCGCCCCCCCCGCCGCCATTCTTACCCACACAGAGCAGAGAGAAGCCTGCATGGGGCGCGCGGGAAGCTTCAGGAGGCACGACCTCGGCCAACAAGCTGCCGCGTTCTTGGCCTGAGGTTGAAGGGGCTGTTTATCACCGGCTCAGGAATCACTCACGCGGCCCCCTTCCCCAGCCTCATGGGCAGCGAGCCCTGTGCCCTTCACGGTGCCCACCAAGGCCCTGGCCAGACTGCTGGCCTCGCGAGCCCCCTGCTCCCCGAGCCAGCTGAGCTGCGGTAGTGGGGAGTGCCTGCCGGCTGAGCGGCGCTGTGACCTGCGGCCAGACTGCCAGGACAGCTCAGACGAGGACGGCTGTGGTACGTGCCTGGCCGGGGGACACCACTGAGGGCCCTGCCCCTGCGTGGGCCTCCTCTGAGTCCCCCCATTTCCCCCTACAGTGGACTGTGGGCTGGCGCCCTGGTCTGGCTGGAGCGGCTGCAGCCGCACCTGCGGGCCGGGCCTCGCCTTCCAGCGCCGGGACCTGCTGCGGCCTCCCCTGCCCGGGGGCAGCTGCCCGTCCAACAGGCTCCGCGGCCAGCCCTGCTTCGTGCAGGCCTGCCCAGGTAACCAGCACCCAGGCCTCCTCAGGAACCCCTGGGGGGTGTGGGACACCTGCCTTGGTCTCCCTTCCAAGACCCACACGAGAGGGATGCCCTTGCCCTCCTGGGGACCCCAGGTCCAGGCTCCTCTCTGGGGCTCTAGGAGGACAGCCCCTTCTGATGTCCCAGCTTCATGCCTTGTGCCTCCAGAAGCCTGCACCTGGCCCTGCCCTTTGCCCTTTTCCTGCTTGAGTGGTTCTGGTCCTTAACCTTGAGTGTGGGAACTAGAGCCGCAGACCCTTTCCCATTTCAGAGTTAGGGTGTTACTAGGCTGTGCCTAGGACCTGGAGCCCTTCTTTTCTGTCGACCTGAGGGAGTAGCACCCACCTTGCCTCTGCGTTGCAGAGAGCGGTTTCCTGCATGGGGTGGCGGGGTGTCTTGTGAGCCCCCGCACCTGGACTCCTAAGCTGGTTTCTGTCTGCTGCCACCAAGTGGTGCCCTGCTCCAGAATTCCTACTGTCCCGGCTTTTTCCCTGCGACCAGATCCTTTATCCTGCGAGGCAGCCAGAGCTCTTTGCTTCGGTCCACCCACCTAGGGGAGGTTTCCCGGGCAGGAGAGGAAGCTGTGGCGTCCCGGTGGTGCTGCCCTAGGCCACCCAGCTGGCATTGTCCAAGCTTGTCTCTGCTGTGCCTCCTGCTCTCTCTGGCGCCATCTGTGTCTCCCTGAGCTGACCTGGTCCGTGTCCGTTCTTTCTTCCCACACAGTGGCTGGGGCATGGGCTGCCTGGGGGGCCTGGGGGCCCTGCAGCGTCTCCTGTGGGGGTGGCCATCGGAGTCGCCAGAGGAGTTGTGTGGACCCCCCGCCCAAGAATGGTGGTGCCCCCTGCCCCGGGGCCTCTCACGAAGGGGCACCCTGCGCCCTGCAGCCCTGCCCAGGGGATGCGGGTAAGGGAGCTGGGCTGGGCAGGGGCACCCGAGGGTGGGGCCCCGTGGGGATGGGGCTGTTGGGAAGGTCACTGGGCCTCCTGTGATACGCACCCCACCTAGCGTCCATCTCCCGCCAGGCTGTGGGCCAGGCCGAGTGCATGTTAGTGCTGAGCTCTGCCGGAAGGGGCTGGTGCCACCGTGTCCGCCCTCCTGCTGGGACCCTGAGGCCAACAGAAGTTGCAGTGGGCCCTGTCTGGAGGGTGAGGCACACCCTGCAAGCAGGAATGGGGCGGGCAGAGCCCTCAGGGGGAGTGTGGGGTGCTTGGAGGCCCTCCATCTCCAGCCTCCCCTCCCCATTCCCCCCTTTTTGGGGCTGAGTGCCCTCCTGCCTACACCCCAGGATGCCGCTGCCCCCCTGGGCTGCTCCTCCATGATGCTCGCTGCCTGCCGCTCTCCGAGTGCCCTTGCCTCGTGGGTGAGGAGCTGAAGAAGCCGGGGGCGCCCTTTGTCCTGGACAACTGCAGCCGCTGGTGAGGGTGTCTACTGTGCTGGGGAGGACCTGGGTCAGGCCACCAGCCAGTCCCGACCTCCTCTGCCTCCTCCTCCCCTGCAGCGTGTGTGAGAACGGGGCCCTGCTGTGTGAACCCCGGGGATGCCCTGTGCCCTGCGGCTGGTCAGCCTGGTCCTCCTGGGGTCCCTGTGACCGCTCCTGTGGCTCTGGAGTGAGGGCCAGGTTCAGGTGCGCAGGGTGGAGCTATTGGTGTGTGTGGGGGGGGGAGTATGGGAGGAGGAAGGAAAGGAGGTGGTAGAGGGAGGGTGGTGGTTGGAGGACAGGTGAACAAGGAAGACAGGAGTGCGGGCGGGCTGTTCAGGGGGATGTTTCTCCCCCCAGATCCCCTTCCAACCCTCCGGCTGCTTCCGGGGGTGCCCCGTGTGACGGCGACAGACAGGAGCTGCAGGCCTGCCACATGGAGTGCAGGATAGGTACAGCCAGGAGCTGGGACAGGAGCCAGGATGCAGGAGCCTGCTTCCCGCCTCCCCCCGAACGACCCCCGGCTCCCCGCCTCCGCCGGGCTTGCCTCCCTCCTCTCAGTTGCTGCCCTAGGAACACAGCACGATCTCCGGGGCCGCTGGTCACCTGCATGGTGGTCAGTGCGGCCTTCTGGTCTCAGAGGCAGCCCTGGAAGGAGCCTTGGTGCCAGGGGTCTTGTCGGGGACCAGACGGAGGGTGGGTCCCAGGCAGTATCCTTCTCCCACACAGGCAGCCCAAGTGCCAGAAGCAGGCTGATCTTGGGGGAGCAGGGTGTCTGAAAGCAGGGGTGAAGCTGCTCCTCTGGCCGAGCCTGTGAGGCTGGGGCGGGGGCAGGGTGGCAATCAGAGCACAGACACCAGATGAAGGAGCCCAGACTGTTTCCCAGGGTCCCCTTCTGCAGAACAGGTGAGGCAGACACTCTGCAGAGCAGGCGGGGCGGGCGGGGGGCGGAGGTGAGAAGAGGAGTCGGGGCTTGGGCATGGGTCCGTGGGTCTGGGCCAGGCTCTTGCAGCAGGGGTGGGAAGAAGGGGCCAGCGGAGCATGGTGTCCGACTGACAGGTGTCTGCGGGGGCTTGGGCTCCCAGCATTGAAGCTGAGTGAAGGACAGGTATTCAGAAGACTCTGGAAGGCTTGATCTGGGGGAAGATGTGTGGGTGGGTAGGGGACATGAGGTGCAGCTGCGCCCACAGATGGAGGTGGCCTGGGCTGGAGCTTGGCTAAGCAGGAGGCTGTGCTTTGCGAGTGAGACCTGGGCCCAGGGCTGGGGGTCCCAGAGGGGCAGAGACCACGCCTGAGCCCAGAGAGGCACTCCCCGTCTCCACGAGTCCTTCCCCGGCCCCCACAGCTTCTCAGACCAGACCCAGCCTCCCAAGCCTCCCAGCCCTGCCAGGACCCCTGTGTGGAAGGCCTGCCCTTTCCCCCTCCAGAGCTGCTGGGCTGGACCTCCTGGGCACCCTGGTCCTCCTGCTCCCAGAGCTGCCTCGCCGTGGGAGGAGGCCCTGGTTGGCGCAGTCGTTCCCGGCTCTGCCCCAGCTCCACGAACGCGTCCTGCCCAGGAGAGGCCACCCAGGAGGAGGTCTGCAGCCCCCCTGTGTGCCCAGGTATGTCCCCCGCTGTCCCGGGAGTGGCCGGGGCACCAGGATGGGATGAGGAGCAAAGGGGAAGAATGACCCCTTGGGCAGGTTTTAAACACCTGGGGCGTGGGGGGCACAGGGACTAGAGCAGACCTGTTATCCCGAACCGTCTCCTCCGCCCCCGGCCTATGACTGACAGGGTGGGCGTCGCCTGAAGGGGTGTTTGGGCCAGCCTGGGACGGGGACGCAGCGGAAGCTGCAGTCAAGATCCTGCACACTTGGCACAGCCCAGCCGCCTGCGCCCCACCCCCTGCCCACACCTTCGCCCGCACCCAGCGCCCACTGTGATGCACTTGGCTCTTCCTGACAGTGCTAAGCACCTGGGGTCTGTGGGCTCCGTGGTCCACCTGCTCGGCCCCCTGTGACGGAGGCGTCCAGATACGTGGGCGCAGCTGCTCTGGTTCCACTCCCGGTGACCCTGAGTGCCAGGGACCTCACAGCCAGACCAGGGATTGCAACACTCAGCCCTGCGCAGGTGCCAGCCTCTCTCCCCTCCCACCCTGCGCTTCTCTACCAGCCACGCCCTTCTCTGCCAGTTAAGCCCTGGGGGATGCAGACCTCTCTGCACCCCACCTTCCCACAACCCTGCCCTCCGGCTCCAGGACAGGCCATATCCTGAGCTAACGGGCTGCCGAACTTCCTCGTCTCCCTCCTCTGGCTCCTGTACCCTGGGCACTAGGCATGGGCTGTGGCCCAGGGCTCAGGCTCTTTGCCCCTCCCTGCCCAAGGTCTCCTTCCCAGGCCTGCAGCTCAGAAACACAGAGCCACTCACTGCAGGAATTGTGAGAAGCAGAGCCTGCCTGTCTTTAGAAGCCCCTGGCCCCATCTCCCTCACCTTTCTCTATTGAGCCCCATCCTGGCCCAGGGACTGCTCTGCTTTCAAGGACATTTGTGTTGGGGGAGCCTGGGTGGTGTCGTGAGTTGAGCATCCCACTCTTGGTTTCGGGCCCTGGGATCGAGCCCTGTGTCAGGCTTTTAGCTTAGTACGGAGTCTATTTAAGACTCTCTCTCCCTCCCTCTCTGTCCCCCACCCCCTGCAAATAAAAATAAATCTTAACAAATAAAAAAAAGAAAAGGATGTTTGTGTTGCAGTTAGGCAAAAATATGAATCTTTCCTGGTGCAGGAGTGAACCTGCCCAGGAGGGAGGTGGGAGGGGCTTCCTCTGGCTTCTCGGTCCTGCTCCTGGGTTCCCTGCATGCAGCTTCCTCTCGCCCCTCCCTCTCCTGACCCTTTCCTCCTGCCCATGCTGAGACCCGCTCTGTCTTCCCGTCCAGCTCAGTGCCCGGGGGACATGGTGTTCCGCTCAGCAGAGCAGTGCCAGCGGGACGGGGGCCCCTGCCTTCAGCTGTGCCTGGCTCAGGATGCTGGGGTCGAGTGCACCAGCTTCTGCACCCCTGGCTGCACCTGCCCGCCTGGCCTCTTCCTGCACAACGCCAGCTGCTTGCCCCGCAGTCAGTGCCCCTGCCAGCTGCGTGGGCAGCTCTACGCCCCGGGAGCACAGGCTCAGCTGGATTCCTGCAACAACTGGTAGGCCACCAGCGTCCGGCGAGCATGGGGGACGGGGCTTGGTGGCCCCAGGGCTGGACAGGCGTGGACACACACCCCGGGGGTCGGGTCACCTCCGTGGTGCCAGGCCTGGGCCCCAGGAATACCAAAGCCTGCTCTCCAGGCTGGGCATCTGTGGGGAGACTGAGGCTTGGATCAGTGTGGCGATTTGTGAAGGAAGCAGGGGCTGGAGAGGGTCTTCTAGCCTCCCCTTCCAGTCACCTGGGCTTCCCTTTCCTGAATGTTCTTCCCTACCTGGGATCCCCTTGATTTCTGCTCAAAAACCTTGAAGCTGACACTGGGCTCTTCCAGCAGGGGACGCCCTCCTCCTTTCTCCCCACATTTTTGTTTCTTTTTTTTTTTTTTTTTTTTTTTTTTAACCTTTCAATTCATTTTCTCCATTCTCCATGTTCCTCTTCCCAATCCCGGGCCCCCCACTCCCCCTGGCATGCTTCCTCTCCTCTGCCCCCTTTCTCTTCTTCTTTTTCTCTCAGATTCTTTTTCTGGAATTTCCATGTACTTGAGTGGTGGGCTTCAAACCACTGGAGAGAAGTAAAAGGGAAGGAAAGTGCACAGTTCTTCCCAAGAGGCTCAGGCTAGGGTCTTCTCTTTCTAAATCGCTCCTACCTGGCCCTGAGGAGCTGTTCAAAGTCCTTTCCAAAGGACTTTCCAAATTACTGTTGCTAGTAATAACTAGCAACAGAATGAAATATGTAAAGGGGAGTCTTTGATCAAAGTGAGTGAGGAAGGACAGCACAGTGCCCGGCCATCAGGGAGCCCGTGGAGGGCGGGACTAGGTGGGAGGGACCAGAGGAAAAACCTCGGTCACCTCCTGAAGTTCGAGGGGGACACGCACCAACTCGATTTACTTTCTAGACCATCCTTTGGGTTTTTCTTCTGTGCGGTGGGTGCGGTGGTGCTGGCCGTGTCCCCTTGGGGACAGGTGCACAGAGCCCCATGGGGCAGGGTCTGACTGGCCCCAACGGGTTCTCTCTCTGCAGCACCTGCGTCTCTGGTGAGATGGCGTGCACCTCGGAGCCCTGCCCAGGTACCCCTGATGCCCAGGAATCTGCAGTGGCGGGTCCTCAGGGGTGTAGAGGATGCTGGCCATAAAGGATGGTGCTCTGGGGAAGCTAGGGCCCGGGCACGGCTTGGCCTGGCTTCATAGCCTCTGTGCCCCTCCCCACCCCCACCCTGCAGTGGCCTGTGGCTGGAGCCCCTGGACTCCGTGGAGTGTCTGCAGCCGCAGCTGTGACGTGGGCCTTCGGCGGCGCTTCCGGGCGGGCACTGCGCCCCCCGCTGCCTTCGGGGGTGCTGCGTGCCAGGGCCCCAACATGGAGGCCGAATTCTGCAGCCTGCGGCCATGTCGGGGTAAGAGCTAGGACCAAGGCCCCCAGAATCCTCCGGAGAGGAGCCAGTAATACCCCCAGTCACTTCCCCCAGACCCCAAGAGAGGTACAAGGATCTACCCTTAAAGACGCCAGGAAAGGTCCCCAGAGAGCCCCAAGAGTCATTCCCCGCTCCGGGCTGAGAGGGAGTGAGGCCTCCGGCAGTGGGCCATGATGCCGCGGGTGTGAGAAGGGGGGTGCCTAGGGTGTCTGGGTGGAGGAGGGGGGGTGTGGTGCGCATGGGAGGTAGGGCCCGCAGTGACCTGACTGCCACCCCAGGTCCCAGTGGGGAGTGGGGCCCCTGGTCCCCGTGCTCTGTGCCCTGCGGCGGCGGCTACCGGAACCGCACCCGGGGCGGTGGCCTGAATGGCCGTGTGGACTTCTCTGCCTGCGGGCTGCAGCCCTGCACCGGTGAGGGCCGTGCCCAACTGCCACACTGTTCCCCGACCCTCCATAATCATCCCGCCCAACCCAGGGTCCTGTCAACCCCTCCCTGTCACCCCAGAGACCCCTCTCCCAGAGCTCCTATGGGTTCCTGCGACCTCCCCCGCCACCCCGGCCACACCTAGAACCAATGCCTCTCCTGGGTGGGGAGCCCGGGGCAGAGTTGACTGTGCCTGGGCTGGGCTGTCAATTCCTGTGTTCCCAGGGCCCGTGCCTGGTGTGTGTCCCAGGGGCAAGCGGTGGCTGGACTGCGCCCAGGGCCCTGCCTCCTGTGCAGAGCTCAGTGCCCCTCAAGGGACAAACCAGACCTGCCTTCCCGGCTGCTACTGCCCATCTGGGACTCTCCTGCTGGTGAGCGTCTTTCCTGACCTGACCTCCACGGGACCTGGGCAGGGGCAGAACCAAAGGCACGGGGCTTCAGAGTCAAGGGAAAAGCACTGAATTCAGGGGTCACGGCTCCACTCTGCCAGCAGCCAGCAGGTGACCCTGCGTGAGTCACATTCATGCTTCCATGAGCCTCTCGTCTCCTATTTGTGAAATGATGATAGGTCAAGAAGATCTTTACGGTTCGTGCCTACTTGAGCGCTCTGTTCTCTTACGTTCTTGGCTTTTTATCGAGCGCCTGGCCTGCTTAGTCTTAGGGGGGCTACGCCGTGGGGAGAAAGTAGACTCTGCCCTCCAGGAGCCTCTGGTCTGGGGAAACCAGACCAGAGCACCTAGAATGAAGGTGGGACCATCCCCACACAGCAAGTGAGCTTTGCGTAGTGTGGAGCTCGGGAGGCAGCCTGGCAGGGGCTGGGTCAGTGGCAGGGGGCTTCCTGGAGGAGGTGATCCTGACTGGACTGTCCGAGATTGCAGGGTGTGGAGAGCTGGAGGTGGCACTACTGTTGGAAGGCAGTGGGAACCAGGCTGGAAGTGAGGTGGGGGTCATGGAATCTGGACAGAAGCTTGTGGGGAGGTGGGGAGGGCTTAGAGAGGTGCTGCTGAAGCCTGGGCTGTGAGCAAGGGGCTGGACTCCAGTGGGGTCTGAGTTCAGATCAGACTCTTCTACTAGGAGCTCTCTGACCTCGGGCTGTGTAGTCTTGTGCCTCAGTCTCTTCATTTGTCAAATTGAGGTGATAACAGGCCTCACCATTGGGGTACGTAAAAGGCTGTGGTGCCTCCCAGGGCCTGGCACCCACCTCAGTACACTTGACTTTGAATCATGTGCTACTGGGTGGCAGTTTCTTAAACTTTAAGACAGTAGCAACTTTTGTCCAAATTTCATGTATGTGTAACTTCATCGGTTTCTATTTTCTTGATGAAATGTGCAATTGTTTTTAAACACTTGTCCTACACATCGCAAGATGCGTGTTCTTTTAGCTGGTTCCAGGGGCGTTTGACAGTTCAGTCCCCGTCCTGCAATCGGAGATGGTCTTTCGCTCCAGAGACTGGGGGTCCACGCCCCTCGCCACGGTTCCTATAACCCTGGTGGCAGTGGGAGCAGAAGGGCCGTTTGTGGAAGGAGTGTGGGTGGCATTGGAGGGTGGGAGCCTGGGAGGGGGTGCTGGGTTCTGACTGTGGGGAGCAGGCCGGACCAGACCCACCTAGAATCCGGAAGATGATGGAAGGTTTTTGGTTCCAGAACAACGTGTGTGTGCCCTCCCAGGACTGCCCCTGTGCCCATGGGGGGCGCCTTTATCCCCCGGGCAGTGTGGTGCTTCGTCTCTGCGAGAACTGGTGAGGACCCCCCACCCGTGGCCGTGACCCGTGAGCACCTTGCTTCCCCCCTCAATGCCAGGGGATGCCGGCCTCCAGGGGGCCGTGGAGCTGTCCCTTGCCCCCCAGGCAGAGCTGTCGAGCTCCCTGAGGCCCTCGCCCATGCCCTTCCAGCCCATCCTTTCTCCCCCCACCCGTCTCGGTCCACTGTGCACCGCAGATCCGGGATGTGACCTCTCACACTCCAGGAGACCAGATATCCCAGATCAAGGAGTCAGCAGCGCGGTTCCTGCTGAGGGCTGTGGGGCAGAATCTGCCCAGGTCCTGCTGTTCTGTGGTTGCTGGTGATCCTTGGCTCTTCCTTGGCTTGTGGCTGCACCCCTGCATGCCGCCTTCCCGGGGCCACCTCCTCCTCGTGGGCCCCTCCTCACGTTGGTCCCTCTATGCACATCTGCGCTGAGTCCAGATGTCCCCTTTGTAGGACAAGTCATGTTGGACCAGGGCCACCCTAGTGCCTTCCCTGTAACTTGAGCACCTCTGTGAAGACCTTTCACCAAATAAGATCACATTCTGAATCCTGGGTGTTCAGGCGTCAATGAAGGAATTTGCGGGAACACGCGTCAGCCTGTGACAGCACCGTGACCTTTTGCTGTTTTCTTCCAGCTCCTGTGTTTCTGGGCTTATCACCCACTGCATCTCCTGGCCCTGTGAGGAGGGTGAGAAGGGGGCCCCCACGCCCGACGGTGCGCCCTGCCAGCTCCCTGTCAGGGGAGGAAAGCTTGGTTGGAGTGGGGGGGAAGGGAGGAGGGGCGGTCTGCCTAGGCCAGTGCCTCCAGCCTACGCTCACTCCATCCCCACTCTGCCTTTCCCTCCTGTGCACCCCAGGTCAGCCCACGTGGTCACCCTGGACCCCATGGAGCGACTGCTCAGCCTCCTGTGGCCCTGCCCGACGCCACCGGCACCGATTCTGCTCCGGGCCTCCCACCATGGACCCGTCTGTCCTGGCGCTGCCATCCCCACCAACCTGGCCTACCCCTCTTTGCCCAGGCCCCGACGCTGAGGAGGAACCCTGCCTCCTGCCAGGGTGTGACCGTGAGTCCCCTGGTGCCCGGGATGGTGCCATCCATGCTCTGGGGATACTTGCTGTCTTGTACCGGCTGGCCCCCCGCCGACCAACACCCCCACCCCAAGAATTGCTTCCTTTGTTGTCATCCCAGGAGCTGGGGGCTGGGGGCCTTGGGGGCCCTGGTCCAGCTGTAGCCGGAGCTGTGGGGGAGGCCTGCGGAGCCGGATGCGAGCCTGTGATCAGCCTCCACCTCAGGGCCTGGGGGATTACTGTGAGGGGCCTCGGGCCCAAGGAGAGGCCTGCCAGGCTCTGCCATGCCCAGGTACCAGCCAGGATGCGGGGACAGGGGGCAAGGAGCACTCTGGAGAGATGGGCCAGAGTGGGCCACCCACACAGCTCTCAGCCCCTCCTGTCCCTTCCCCAGTGACCAACTGCACCGCCATTCAGGGGGCGGAGTACAGCCCTTGTGGCCCTGCCTGTCCTCGCTCCTGTGACGACCTCGTGGTGAGTCCGGCTCCCTCGGAACAAACCTCCACCTGACCTCCAGCCCCAAGGGTTACTTTTGCAGGAGGGCAGGTTATGGCTTTGGGTCATGACCTCTTTGGTCCTGGGGCCGCCTCACACTGGTAGGGAGGGGTGGGATCCGTGCCCACCAGGCTGGCTCCTGTTTGTTCCAGAGGCTGTCTGAGCCTCACCCAGCAACCTTGCATTCATTATGTCAGGCCTTCCTGAATTTAAATTTAAAAATTTATTACAAAAAGAACATAAACACCTATGAAGGAATCGTCCCACTGGATCATCTTAAACACCACGAGCATTTCAGGGTGTGGACTCTGAGTGTGAGAGTACGTGGGCACGCATGTATGCATTGGTGTGCTGGTTGGGGGGACGTCCATCAACGCCTGGCCAGCACCATGGAGAGGGACAGAGGCACGCAGGTGCACAGGGTCCGATGGCACCAGGGAGCCTGCGGTGTGGGGAAGAACAGACCCGAAGCAGGGATGCCCAAGGGATGGTGCCATGAGGCCCTGCGCGGGCGTCTAAGAACGGTCAGGGAGGCGCTACAGGGGCTGAGCAGGGAGGGGAAGAGGGCCTGGGACTGACTCCTGGCTTCCCCAGGGGACCCCAGCTCCTTCCCAGGTGACCCCGTGCCCTAAGCCAGCTTTCTATTGTGCTGTCCTACGTTTTGGGGAGGTCTGGGAGATGCCTGGGTTCCCAGGCATTGGCGAGGTCCCCCATGGAACCCTCCACAGCGTTCACATTTGGAGGACACCCCCCCCCAGCCACCGGGGGCAGCCCTTCTCAGGCTCTCGTCCCCCCTCCCCACTTCTGCTCTGGGGAGGAGAGGAGGGAGAAACTGTTTGAACGTAGTGTCTATGAACCAGAGCTCGACAGCTTCCCATCTGTCCCCCTCTGCCTCCTTCATCTCGTCTTTCCTTCCCTTCATCTTTCCCCTGTGGCTCTGCGCCCACTCCCCAGAGCACCCCTCCTAGCCCCCTCCGCCCTATCTCCTGCTGACCCGCGCCCTCCCTTGTGGCCCCCCAGCACTGCGTGTGGCACTGCCAGCCCGGCTGCTACTGCCCTCCAGGCCAGGTGCTGAGTGCCGACGGGGCCCTCTGCGTGCCGCCCAGCCACTGCGGCTGCCTGGACCTGCTGAGCGGGGAGCGGCACCGGCCGGGGGCTCGGCTGCCTGGGCCCGACAGCTGCAACTACTGGTGAGGCGGACTCGTGGGCAGCTGCAGGGCCCAGGGGAGGGCGGGCCGCTCTCCTGGGTCTCAGCTGCTGCAGGTTGGACTCCCATGATCCCCGAGGAGATGCAGGCAGGCACCGATGGTTGGAAACCGAGGCATCCAGCTTGCTGTGTCTGCCCTCTGGGAGACGTGGCAGGCTGCGTGTGTGCTCAGAGGGGAAGGAGGGGTGACAGGCACAGTGTTCCTCCTCACTGTCTGGCTCCTGTCAACAGCAGACGACCTCTGGTCATTCCCCAGTAGGACACACTGGCCAGCGACCAGCAGGGAGCCCACGGGACAGCTGATGGGTCCCTGAGTAGGACAGACAGTAGGGTCTAGAGGCTCTGGAGAATGGCCGGGGGGCATCTGAGACTCTGAAGGGAAAGGGGAGCATGGCGGTAAGGGGAAAGGAAGAGGCAGTTTAGGAGGGGTGCGCGTGGAGGGCAGGGGCAGGGCTGAGCTGCTGCTCTCCTTCCCGTGCCTGTGTGCCCTGCCCAGCACCTGCTCAGAGGGGAGGCTGAACTGCACGGACCTGCCTTGCCCAGGTACGTATGTCCCAGCTCGGAGGGAAGCAAGGAAAAGTGGCCAGGGCCACCGAGAGGGCTGGAATTGGGGAAGGCATGCCTGCGCCCCAGTGCCCTTCCATCATCCCCTGCAGTGCCGGGTGGCTGGTGTTCCTGGTCGGAGTGGACGGCGTGCTCCCAGCCCTGCAGGGGTCAGACGAGGACCCGCTCCAGGACTTGCACCTGCCCCGCTCCTCGGCACGGGGGCACCCCATGCCCTGGTGAAGCAGCGGGGGCAGGGGCCCAGCATCAGAAGGAGACTTGCCCCAGCTCCCCTGACTGCCCAGGTGAGATGCCCCCACTAGTCTGCTCAAATCTCAGTGGGCTGGGCGCCTCCTAGTCCTCCTGGCACAGCTGGTTCTGTCTTCCTGGCACAGCGGATGGAGTCTGGAGCCCATGGGGACCGTGGTCTCCCTGTGACCCGTGCGTGGGGCAGTCCCAGCGAAGTCGGGAGTGTATCTGGCCCCCCACCCCCGAGGGAGGCAGGCCCTGCCCTGGGGGCTACAGGCAGAGTCGCCCCTGCCAGGACAATTCCACACAATGTCCAGGTGAGGGCTTCTGCGGAGGTCTGGGAGGGTCCCTTAGGAGGCTAGGGAGATACTGCCCCTGACCGTTGACCCCAGTATACACCTGCACGTCATTTCCTTCTTGGGGTGGCCCTTAGATCACTCACCCTGTGATCCTGGGACCAGGTGGAAGGCCAGAGCAGGTGGGGGGGCGTGGCCAGAGGCCTGGCCACCTGCGTGCTGGGACCCTTCTGGCTGGGCCCCGCTCAGCGTCACCGTCTTTGCTTCCCTCCTGCCACAGACTGTGGGGGTGGCCAGGGCCTTCTCCCATGCGGGCGGCCCTGTCCCCGCTCCTGCCAGGACCTGTCTCCTGGGAGCATGTGCCAGCCAGGTCTGACGGGCTGCCGGCCCAGCTGTGGGTGCCCCCCCGGCCAGCTGTCGCAGGATGGCCTTTGTGTGCCTCCCGCCCGCTGCCGCTGCCACTACCAGCCTGGAGCCATGGGTCAGTGCTTCCCCTTGCCCTCTCCCAGGGACCCCCCCCCAAGCACTGCAGTGCCTGCCTGCCTGACCTCTGCCCATGGGGCCCAGCCTGGAGTGGCAGGATGGGGACAGGCAGCCTGTCCCTTCTGATGCTCCGGGCGTTCATCTCCCGGACATCCCACGGCATCCCGGGCCTGCCCTGGGTTCAGGCTTCCATCTCCCAGGCCCAGGATCTGGGGCATCAGGGGCTGAAGAATGATAGGGAGGGAGGTAGAAGGCAGTGGGGTAGGTGGAGGGACTCAGGGTGGGGGGCACACTGAGCTATCTGGAGTCCCACCCCCACTCGTGCCTTCAGGGATTCCTGAGAACCAGAGCCGGTTAGCAGGGCCTGGGCTCAGCTCCTGGGAGAGGCTGGAACCTGGAGAGGTGGTGACTGGGCCCTGTGACAACTGGTGAGCCCAGGGAAGCAGGGTGGGGAGTAGGCTGCCGAGCTGGGCAGTAGGGCCCTAGGGGGGAGGTGGCCAGGGTCCTGTCTTCTGAAGTCCCCCTCCCTGTCCCCAGCACCTGTATGGAGGGCACCCTGCAGTGCCGGGAGGTGCCTGGCTGCCCTGGTCCTGGGATGTGGGGTTCCTGGGGTCCCTGGGAAGACTGCAGTGTCTCCTGTGGAGGAGGGGAGCAACTCCGCTCCCGGAGATGTGCCCGGCCCCCCTGCCCCGGGCCTGCCCGCCAGAGCCGCACCTGCCACACCCAGGTCTGCCGAGGTGAGCCCCAACCCAGGTTCTGCTCTTGACGCTCTAACTTAACTTGGATTCCCATATTGGTCTTTGACACGGACTCAGGGGTGTCTTTGACCTCTTTATCCCATCCCTGTGGGCTGCCCTCTCCCTGGGGCAAGTGCAGGAGGAAGTAGCCAGATTCAGGGAGGGGAACCTGTAGGAGGGTGTGACACTGGTCCTGAGGGGCACACCCCAGGGAGGCTATCGTGGGCACAACTGGGGAGCCATGGGAGGTTGGGCGCTGGGGTGAGGAGGCAGGTCGTGGGGGCATGGGGTGGGTAAAGAAGTAACCGCTCTGGGCAGCGCGGGCCAGAGCTGGCCCTGACCCAAGTGTTGCCCCAGAGGCAGGCTGCCCGGCCGGACGTCTGTACCGGGAGTGCTCGCCTGGCGAGGGGTGCCCCTTCTCCTGTGCCCACGTCACTCAGCAGGTTGGCTGCTTCTCTGCTGGCTGCGAGGAGGGCTGCCACTGCCCCATGGGCACCTTCCAGCACCGCTTGTCCTGTGTCCAGGTCAGAACCCGCGCAGCGCGGAGCCCAAGGCCCCCCTCCCTTCCCTCCCCTCCACTGCCTTTCCTCCCTCTCACCTGCAGCCGCTCACCCCTGCAGAACCTGTCCTCTGGACAGTGCCCCTCTTCCTCACATGACCCCAGGCAAGTATTTGGCCTGCGAGGTTCTCTGTAGCCTCAGCTGCCCGGTGGGTCAGGCAGTGGACAGCTGGGGTGACACCGCCGCAGGATGTCGCTGGCTTCTGGAACGGGGCCTGGCCTGGGCTCCTGCTCTTCCGCAGTGGCTCTCCCTGGCGCCCGGCTCCCGCATGGCGTCCAGCGTGGAGCCACCCGTGACTGGCGTGTGGCCGGGTGCTCCCCCTGCCACGCCCCATGCTTCCCACGCCATTGAGCCCACAGCCGGGAATTGTGGGTCCTGACCGCCCCCTGCGCCACCCCAGTGGGGAAGCATACCTTCAGCTGGACTCTGCCTGGCCCCAGACTCCTGGTCTCCTGCCAGGGGATCCAGACAGCAGGCGGGTGCCCGCTGCGCTCTGCTGAGCTCTCCAGGCGCGTGGGGATTTCATTCTCGGTCTTTTTTTTTTTTTTTAAGATTTTATTTATTTGACACAGAGAGAGAGATCACAAGTAGGCAGAGAGGCAGGCGGAGAGAGAGAGGGGAGGAAGCAGGCTCCCTGCGGAGCAGAGAGAGGCCGACGCGGGGCTCGATCCCAGGACCCTGGGATCATGACCTGAGCCGAAGGCAGAGGCTTTAACCCACTGAGCCACCCAGGTGCCCCTCGTTCCCGGTCTTTAATCCTAATCCTGAAGCCAGTGTCCAGTGGCTACCCCCACCCAGAGTTCCAGAATGCCATGCCCGGAAGGGTCTGAGGAGCCACCTGCTTGACAAAGAGCTGAAGCTGCTTGGAGAGCCACAGGGAAGGAAAGGCACACAGTTACCATAAAGCTAGGAACCAGGTGTCTGATTCCTGGCTGAGGCTCTTTCCACCTCCCTGACCCCTCCAAGTCCCACCCCGTAAGGGCCTCTGCTGACCCTGTCTGGGTCCTAGCTAAGTGCTGTATGCAGGGAAGCCGCTGGCTGTCTCGGGCCAAGCTTACAGCCACTGGTCTCTCACGTTCATGCCCCTGACTCAGAGAGTCCCACTTGCTCTAGGGAATGCTCTTCCGGGGACCCCCCAACCTCCCATGCACCTCCTCCCCGCCTCCCTTCGCAGCAGTGCCCAGGTGCAGGGAGCCACCCTGGGCCTGTGTGATGGCCCCTTCCCCTCTGCTCCCATCCTGCCAGGAGTGCCCCTGTGTGCTCACCGCTGCGCTGCTACAGGAGCTGGGAACGGCCGGCGCTGACCCTGCGGCTCGGCCCCCCATTCTGGGAGAGGGCGGTCAGCCCCTTGGGCCCGGGGATGAGTTGGGCTCAGGCCAGAGCCTTCGTATGGGCTGCAGGAACTGGTGAGGGGGTGGTGAGAGTGGGGGACATTTGGAGCCCAGGGAGGGGGAGGCACTGGCTGCCCTGCCCCTGCCCAGCCAGACCGACCTTGGCTCTGTCTCTTCACTCTTCGGGGTGGAGACCCTTGCCCACCCCTCTCTCCCAGGGTCTGTGCTGCCCGGCCCCTCACCCCCATGCCTTTCTGCAGCTCCTGTGTGCATGGGAGGCTGTCTTGCTCCATGGGGGACTGCTCCAAGGCTAGTGATCACTTCGGTCCTTGGGGGCCATGGGGCCCATGCTCCCGCTCTTGTGGTGGGCTGGGCACCCGAACCCGCAGCCGCCAGTGTGCGCGGCCCTCCCCGGCTCCAGGCAGCCAGGGCTGCGGAGGGCCCCTCCAGGACCTCAAGTACTGCCCCAGCCCGGACTGCCCAGGTGAGGGAAGCAGGAAGGGCTAGTCTGGCTGTGCTCGGGGCCTGGACGGTCCATGGGAGACCTAGCGGAGGGAAGGACTGAATCAGGTAGTGGTGGGTTTAGAACTCGGCTTTTCTTTGGCACAGGGGCTGGAGGGTCCACAGTGGAGCCAGTGACAAGTCTTCCAGGTAGCCCAGAGTCCTTGGGTCCCAGCCCCAGGCTGTCCGTACCGCTTACACATGGCCGCCTTTTGGGAAAACAAGCCCAGAGGCCCCTCTCTCCCCAGCCCTGCTTTCTGGGAGGCCAGGAACCCAGGGCTGACTCAACAGGAAATACCTCTCTCTCCTCTCCCTGCAGGTGGCTGGGGCCCGTGGTCCCCATGGTCCCCTTGCTCTCACACCTGCACAGACCCCACCCACCCTGCTTGGCGCAGCCGCACTCGCCTCTGCCTGGCAAACTGCACCAGCGGGGACCCTTCCCAGGAGCGCCCTTGCAACCTGCCCTCCTGCACAGGTGTGCCTTCCAGCCTTGACCTTTGACCCTGACCCATGTCTGAACCTCGGCCATCCCCTCTAAGCCCAGCATCCTCCCTCCAGCAGCTCATTCTGACCCCCAAGCCATGTCCAACCTTCCAACCCCAACATCTAATACCCTTGAAGCAAATACCGAGTTCTCAGCCTGATGTCGAGTCAGGAATCCATGTGTGACTCTGGACTCGGGGTGCTCTGAACCAGCCCATGCAGCTGATAGGGAGCCCTGCCAACACGGGCCAGTCCTCCCCCAAATTTCCATCCAAATCCCTCAGCATCCTGGTGAGTCTGGGACCGAGGGCCCCTGAATCCTAGTTGCCAAATCCCCACAGCAGCCAGTATCAGATCCGAAACAGGACCCCGAAGGTCTGGAGGAGGGCCCGGTGGCCTGGGTGATGCGGGGGTCTGCACTCGGGCTGAGGCTGCGGAGTCAAGGCTGGCTCCAGCTCTCCCTTCCGTCCTGTCCTGTCCCCGCCTGTCCTGTCCTGTCCCCGCCCGCAGAGCTGCCCCTGTGCCCCAGTCCTGGCTGTGTGGCTGGAAACTGTTCCTGGACCGCCTGGGCCCCATGGGAACCTTGCTCCCGAAGCTGCGGGGTGGGCCAGCAGCGCCGCCTGCGGGCCTACCGTCCCCCGGGGCCCGGCGGGCACTGGTGCCCCGACATCCTCACTGCTTACCAGGAGCGCCGCTTCTGCAACCTGCGGGCTTGCCCGGGTGAGGAGGGCTGCTGGGGACCAGTGCTTGCCCTTCCCTGGCCCCTCCCTGTGGCGCTTCTGTCTTAGCGCGGGACCCTGTCCTGGTCTCCTGGTACATGGCGTGGTGGGGGGGGGGGGGTTGTGCCTGAGCCAGATCCCTCATGTGGCCCTTCTCTCTGCCATGCAGTGCCTGGAGGCTGGTCACGCTGGAGTCCCTGGTCCTGGTGTGACCGGAGCTGCGGAGGGGGCCGATCCCTGAGGAGCCGCAGCTGCTCCAGCCCCCCACCCAAGAATGGGGGTGCCCCCTGTGTTGGGGAGAGGCACCACGCTCGGCTCTGCAATTCCTTGCCCTGTGGTATGGCGGTGGGGACATGGCATCCCTGGTGGCCTTTGCACTCTGCACAGCTCTTCCCATCCCACCCCTAATTCAACTCTCACCACACCTCGTGATGGAGACACTCAGTGACCAGCTGGGAAAACCAGGGCCCGGAAGGGGTAGATGGCGGGATGCGGCGCTACTCGGGAGGTCGCTGTGGCGGAGGCAGAGCTGCTAGGATCCATGCCCCCGCCTGCCTCCGCCCTGCACTAGAACTCGTTCTCCCAGTTTTGCCCACCCTCCAGCTCTCGAAGGATCACCCAGCCCCAGCCCGGTGGAGATTTCCAGAGGATTTGAGGGTTACTGTGAGGAGTGCGCCCGCCCCTGGCGTGTGGGCGGAGCCAGACACGCCCCGCCCAGCTTCGGCTTCTTATTGGTCCTTATTGGTCTTTCTTTGTTTCATTTTTTTTTTTAAGAGAGATCTTTTTTTGTTTTAAGATTTTATTTATTTATTTGACAGACAGGTCACAAGTAGGCAGAGAGGCAGGCAGAGAGAGAGGAAAGGAAGCAGGCTCCCCGCTGAGCAGAGAACCCGATTCAGGGCTCCATCCCAGGACCCTGGGATCATGACCTGAGCTGAAGGCAGAGGCTTTAACCCACTGAGCCACCCAGGCGCCCTCTTACTGGTCTTTCTGAGCTCCCTGACCCCATGGACCTTGGTTACTCTAAGACCTTCAGCCCTCCTGTCCCCTCCAGCCGGACACGTGTAGGTGAGCATGTTCTTAGATGCACAAATTCAGTCCAGATCAGACACTTACTGGGTTCGAGGCTGGGTGCTAGGACCCCCAGGTAGGTAAGAAGGACTCCCTGTCTTGCAGAACATCCCAATCCCAGGGGTCTCCCCAAGGCCCCTATGTTTCCATGGTCACCAACATGGGGGGAAGGATGAGAGTATAGCTTAGTGGAGGTTAAGAGTGGTTCCCGGGCAGGCAGGCGGAGGGCTTCTGAGCCCCGTTGCAAATGAGCCCTTTTGACTCTGGTCCTTCCCATCTGCTCAGAGGAGGGCTGCCCAGCAGGCATGAAGATGGTCAGCTGTGCCAACCGCTGCCCCCGCCGCTGCTCAGACCTCCAGGAGGGGCTCGCGTGTCAGGACGGCCAGGCCTGCCAGCCGGGCTGCCGCTGCTCTGACGGTAGTGGGGGGGCAGCCCCATGGTGTGGTAGGAAGGCAGGTGGGACCTGAGTGCCAGCGCAGCTCTGGAAGGCTGCCTCCCCCACAGGCTTGCTGGAGCAGGACGGTGGCTGCGTGCCAATTGGGCACTGTGAGTGTACAGATGCCCGGGGCCAGAGCTGGGCTCCGGGCAGCCGGCACCAGGAGGCCTGCGGCACGTGCACCTGCCACGCTGGGCGGCTCTCCTGCACGGCTCAGCCCTGCCCGCCACCTGTGCACTGCTCCTGGAGCCGATGGTCAGCCTGGAGTCCCTGCAGCCGCTCGTGTGGGCCTGAGGGGCAGCAGAGCCGCTTCCGGTATGGGGCTGGGCTAGGCTAGTGTCACTTCCCCCAGCCCGTCTCCCACTGCCTGGACTCAGTCTCCCTCTCTGATACAGAGCTCCTGGATCCCGCCCCTTGGTGGCACACCCTCTGTGCCCTGGCCCCAGCTTTTGTCCCTGGTTATCCTTGCTTTCTTTAGCCGCCCCAGGTTTGCATGTCAGGTGTGTCACCAGGAGAGGGAGGAGTGATGAAGGCCCCCGGGCCATCTCTCAGCCTCTCTGCCCTGGGCCCCACCCAGGTCCTCCACATCCGGCTCATGGGCCCCAGAGTGTCGGGAGGAGCAGTCCCAGAGCCAGCCCTGCCCTCAGCCCCCGTGCCCACCCCTGTGCCTGCAGGGTGCCCGCCTCCACACCCTGGGGGACAGCTGGCTGCAGGGCGAATGCCGACAGTGGTAAGCCTGGGGCGGGAGCGGGGTGGTCTGTCAGGTCCTGCTGGGGGACAGCAGACCTGAGTCCAGCTTCCTCCCCTCAGCTCCTGCACCCCGGAGGGCATCATATGTGAAGACGTGGAGTGTGCAGGTTTGGGGTTTCATCCCAGTGCCCCTTCTAGCCTCAGGGGCCATTTGCTTGCTCCGTGTCACATTTCCTTCCCAGGAGGGAAGGAAGGGAGGTGCTGCCACTCCCTCTACCATGAAGGGCCCAACCATCCCTTGGGACCTCTGCTCCCTCCGGCTTCTCTAACCTCACCTGTGCCCTCCCACAGTACCCGGGGCCTGGACGCTCTGGTCCCCCTGGTCTGAATGTCCTGTCTCCTGTGGAGGTGGAAACCAGGTTCGTACCCGGGTCTGCATGGGCTCGGCCCCCAGCCACAGGGGGACCCCCTGCGTGGGCCCTGACACCCAGACGCAGCGCTGTGGACAGCAGCCTTGCCTGGGGCTGCTGGAGGCTTGCTCCTGGGGCCCGTGGGGGCCCTGTTCCCGCAGCTGCGGCCCAGGCCTGGCCTCCCGCTCTGGGTCCTGCCCTTGCCCACTGGCCGAAGCTGACCACACTTGCAATGGCACATTCCCCCACCTGGACACCCAGGCCTGCTACCCGGGGCCCTGCCTGGGTGAGTGTGCACTGGGCAGCAAAAGCCCCCTGCCCTGATTTCCTGCCTCGGGAAAATTCAGGGAGTAACGTGGCTCCCCAAAGCCCAGATTTCCTCCCCCAAACACAGAGCTATCTCCCAGTGCTTTGTCTAGCTCTTTCCTCTTCTCACCATCTCTCCCTCTGAGCTCACTGGGATGTGCCCCTGGGTGACAGGGGACACAGCGAACTAGGACTTGTCTGAATTCCTGGCTCCCTTTTGCCCTTTTCCTGTGCAGGGTGTTGGCTGGGACTGGTGAGAGTGGAGTAGAGGGGAGGGGAGGGAGGGAGGGAGGGGAGAGGCTGGGGGAGCCTGGCCAGCATCCCCCCACCTTGGTCCCTAGAGGAATGCGTCTGGAGCAGCTGGAGCAGCTGGACACGGTGCTCTTGCCAGGTGCTGGTCCAGCAGCGCTACCGGCACCAGGGCCCGGCGCCTGGAGCAGGCCAGGCCGGGGAGGGCTCTGCCTGCACGCGACTGGACGGCCACTTCCGGCCCTGCCCTGCCGCCAACTGCTCAGGTGAGGCCCCCCGGGAGCGAGAAGCCAGACAGCTGAGCCCTGGCAGGGCCTCCTGGCTCCTCTCCATGCCCCCAGGCCCTCAGAGCACTTGGTGTCCTTGCTCGCCTGGACCCCTGCCCTCCGCAGCCCAGTTACTCGTCCGCCTCACCCTCAGCTCCTCTCTCGTCCTGCTGCTCCTCTCCCCTCTTGGCTCTGCTGTGATTTCCCCACTTGGGAGCTGCAGGCTTTGTCCCCTTGGACCCACACCTGGGGCACAGAAGGTCCTGCCCACGTCCTGTGGTAGCCACCCTCCTGCCTCCCATCCGCCAACCCTGGGAGCACCTGCCCGGCCCCTTGCTCCCAGAAGGCCCCATCCTCCATGCAGCCACCTGGCTCTTGGAGCCCCAACCATCATAACCCTCCCTAGAGGCCACCCTGGGGGCCGAGTGGGCACTCGATGGGGTGACACCAGACAGTCCTTAGGGCAGCACGGGGGCAGGCTTGCATTCCTACAGGAAGACCCCCAGGGGGCCTCGAGGGGATTGTGTACTCTGAGCTCTGGGCTTGGGTAGTAGATGGTGTCTCTGGACAGCCCCCCATCAGCTCTGTTCCCCGACAGGAGACAGCTGCACCCCTCCCTTTGAGTTCCAGGCCTGTGGCTCTCCCTGTGCCGGGCTCTGCACCACACACCTGAGCCATAGGCTCTGCCAGGACCTGCCGCCCTGCCAGCCCGGCTGCTACTGCCCTGAGGTGAGGGGTGGAACTGGGGGGGCGCCCCAGGAGAAGGGGGGGCCTGCTGCACTCCGTCCCCTCTGCACGATGCCTCCGAGGAGTCCCTCCTGTTCTGCCTCGTGCCCACGTGCACACCCATTTGCCGGCAAATCATTGCGTGCACCAGCCGTGAGCAGACACGGTATGGCACTAGGGGAAGTACAGAGATGGCTGCCACACAGCCCCATCCCCGTGTCCCCTTCTGCTGTCAGGGGCTGCTGGAGCAGGCCGGGGGCTGCATTCCCCCAGAGCAGTGTAGCTGCCTGCACCTCGCAGAGGAAGGAGCCAGGCTGACCCTGGCCCCTGGGGAACGCCTGCGCCTGGGCTGCAAGGAGTGGTGAGCGATGGGGGCAGGGAGGCGGCTTCAGAGGGCTGGGGTCAGGGAATGGGGGCGAGCAGGAGGCCCCACAGGGAAATCCTCCGGGCCCAGGCCCAACCCTAATCTCATCGGGCTCGGGTCACCTCCCACCAGCCCCCCACCCACTGCTCTGGGCTGAGTCTGGCATCACCAGTCTTACCCTGAGCACCCCTCCCACAGTGAGTGCCAGCGTGGGGAGCTGCAGTGCACCAGCCAGGGCTGTCACGGTAACTCTGCACTTGGGAGACCAGCTGTCCCCAATTGCTGGGACTGGTGGGGGTTCCCGAGTCTGGAAATCTAAGTACTAGGACCCGGACAGTCCCAGGCAAACCAGGACTGTGGGCCCCCCTACCCTGGCTCCGACACCTGCTACAGCCTTTCCCATTTCCAGCCCTTCCTGGTCATAACTCGGGCTCCTCCTTCCCCATCCACTGGGGTCTGTGGTCTGGAGTTGGGTCCTTGGGAATGGTGCCCACTCGCTGCCCTTCCTAGGTCTTCTGCCTCTGAGTGGGTGGTCCGAGTGGTCACCCTGTGGGCCCTGCCTGTCTGCTGGCATGCTAGCCCCTGCCTCCAGGACTGCCCTAGAGGAGCGTTGGTCTCAGCACCCAGCTGGCCCCTCCCCAACCTTGGCCCCCTGGCTGGCTTCGGAGCAGCACCGTCATCGCCTGTGTCTGGACCCTGAGACAGGGAGGCCATGGGCTGGGGACCCAGAGCTCTGCACCGCACCACTTAGCCAGCAACGCCTCTGCCCGGACCCTAGGGCCTGCCATGGTAATGAGGAGCGGCAAAGACCAACAGGGCAGGAGGGAGCCTGAAATGAGAGTAGGGCTGGGCCATGCTGTTTATTGGGCTGGAAGCAAGAGGCAGAGGGCAGGTGGGCACTGGGTTCTGACTTACATTTTATCTCCCCAGACTTATGCCAGTGGAGTCCTTGGGGGCCCTGGAGTGCCTGCCAGGTGCCCTGCAGTGGGGGATTCCGACTGCGCTGGAGAGAGGCAGGGGGGCCCCCTGGAGGGGGCTGCCGGGGGCCATGGGCTCAGACTGAGAGCTGCAATGTGGGGCCCTGCCCAGGTAACCCCCATGACGGCATCTGGGGGAGGGGCGGGGGGCTGTGCGGTATAAGGTAGCTCCGGGGGGGCCGGGGCAGTGCTGCCTCTGCTCCTGGAGGCACGCGGGGGAGGGCAAGGTGCTGTCCTGGGGCCTGAGCATTGGCCCCCAACACAGACATTTACCTTCCGGCCCTCAGGAGAGAGCTGCGAAACCCGGGACACTGTGCCCACCCTTGACTGTGCCAACCGGTGTCCCAGAAGCTGTGCTGACCTCTGGGACCGCGTGCAGTGTCTGCAGGGACCATGCCGCCCAGGTGGCCAGGCCATGCCAGCAACCCAGCCTGGGGCCCCTAGGGCCTCTGACCAGGGCAGCCCGCTTCGCTGCCTTCCTGCAGCCAGAGAGCAGGAGACCTGTGGGCGGGTGTGCTCGTATACCGGATCGTGGGTTATAGGGCAGGAAAGTGGATCCTTGGGTCCCTTTCAGCAAGCAAGTCAGGCTCTCGCATAGAGCGAGCCTCAGCCAAGCCAGGCTGTGTCCGTGAGGACACTCTCAGACAGCCTCAGGGGTTCCTGGGGTAGTGCCCACACAGGGCGGGCTGCAGCGACCCCTTCCTGTGCTCCCGAAGTGGAAACAGTGTGGAGAACAGGTCAAGTGGGGACTGGGGAGTGGGGGAGGGTGCTCCAGCACGCTATGGACTCCCAACTGGCTGCTGGAGGGAACCAGGGATCCTTCGTGTGCCTGCTGGAGCCTGCTCGTGCTTGTCCTCCCCACCCCCACCCCAGGCTGCCGCTGCCCCCCTGGCCAGCTGATCCAGGATGGGCTCTGCGTGCCCATCTCCTCCTGCCGCTGTGGCCTTCCAAGCCCCAATGCCTCATGGGTGGTGGCCCCTGGCGAGGTGGCACAGCTGGGCTGCAAAAACTGGTATGGTTGCCGGCTGGTGGCTGGGGGAGGGGCGTGCTAGGGAGCTGAGGGTGGGAGGCTTGGGGCAGGTCATGGTTATGGGCATTCCTGGGAAACAAAGGCTCTGTTTTCCTTGACTCATGCCCTTGACTCCTGTCCAAAGCACCTGTCTCAATGGGTCCCTGATGTGCCCACACCGTGAGTGCCCAGTCCTTGGGCCATGGTCATCCTGGAGCAGCTGCTCTGCTCCCTGCGGTGGGGGCACCATGGAGCGGCATCGGAGCTGCAAGGAGGGACCTGCGGGGGGGCCATGTGAGGCCCAGGACACAGAGCAAAGGCGGGGATGTAACCTGCAGCCCTGCCCTGGTGAGCACCTGGATGGTGGGTACCTGCCCTTCCCTCTGGGGCGGCTGAGCTAGGCCCCCTGCTCCCATCTGGCACTAACCAGGGCAGGGGGCCAGTGGTGAGGCAGTCCCTTCCCCAGGACTCCATCCCACTGTCTGTGCTCCCCTCCAGACTGCCCACCTGGCCAGGTGCTCAGAGCCTGTGCCACCACATGCCCGCGCCTCTGCTCGCATCTGCAGCCTGGTGCCCCCTGCGCACAGGAACCCTGCCAGCTGGGCTGCGGCTGCCCTGGACAGCAGGTACGTCTGGGTGCCATGTCCCTAGTCCTGTCGTGTGGAGCCAGCAGGTGGGGGGAGGAGGAGAAGTGGGTCTGAGTCTAACTGCAGCCTGCACTGCCCCAGCTGTTGCACAATGGCACATGTGTGCCACCCGCTGCGTGCCCCTGCGCCCAGATCTCTCTGCCGTGGGGCCTGACCTTGCCCCTTGAGGAGCAGGCCCGGGAGCTTCCCCCAGGGACTGTGCTGGCCTGGAACTGTACCCGCTGGTGAGGGCAAGGAGGGGTGGGGGTGGGGAGGGGTGGAGGGCAAGGCTGCTGAGAACGGGGTTGGGAAGCAGGGCCCGGGAGGCATCCGAACCCAAGCTTCTGTCTTCCCAGTATCTGCCGAGATGGAGCCTTCAACTGCTCTCCAGCTGACTGTCACGGTGAGATGTGGCTGTCCAGGCCCCTGCAGTCCTTCCAAAGCCAGGGGTGGGTGGTTGCCCTGCCGAGGGCAGAGGCAATGCTGTCTCTTTCAAGAAGCCCCTTCCCTGCTCTGTACACACGGTGCAGGCGGCATTCCTGTGCGAGCACAGAGCAGGGCTGTGAGCAATGCAGGAAGCGGAGGGTTCCTTTCCTGCAGAGGAGGTAGCAAAGGTTGAGACGGTGAGCTAAAATAGGACCCTTGCCTGGCAGTACCCATTCCACCAGTCCCCTTGGGGTCTGCCCTGTGCTGTTTTGCCCCCATCTGGTCACAGTCAACAGGCTTTGCTAAGGGCTCATCTGGGCCCAGCCCTGGCCCACTGGGCTCTGTGTGGGTTCAGAGACACACAGGAAAAGTGAGCCTTAAGCACTCAAGCCTGGCTGCTGAGGGCAGTCTCACCCACCAGAACAGAGACAGGAGACTGTTTCTGGCCCACTGACAAGCAGGCTGCACCCACAGGATGGGGACTCGGTGCCCAAAGAAGAGAGGTCAGTGTGGACAGGACTAGTCAGGGATGGCTTCCTGGAGAAGGCAAGATGCAGGTTAGGCCCTGCTGGTATTTGAAAAGGCAGATAAGGGCACTGTTTGGAGGCCTGGAAGTGCAGAGGCTGCTGGAGCCGAGTGGGCAGCACTAGAGGAGGGAGGAGGGACTCTAGGGGTATCTGGTGTGTGTGTGGGAGAATCAAGCCTGGACCCAGGGCTGACCTGAGTGGTGGGGGTGGGTGGGGTCTTCCCTGGCAGAGTGCCCCTCTGGAGAAATGTGGCAGCAGGTGCCTCCTGGGGAACTGGGGCCATGTGAGCGGACGTGCCCGGAGCCCAACGCCACAGAGACTTGGGGCACCTGCCGCATGGGGCAGGCCCCCGGGTGCGTGTGCCAGCATGGGCACTTGCGCAGCCACGTGGGCCACTGCGTGCCCCTGGACCGCTGCGAGTGCTGGCGCCATGGGCATCCCCACTCGGTGAGACACCACAGCCCCTTTGTGCCACCCAGCCCTCCTCCACCCAGGCCTCCCTCCTGTCCGAGGGCTCTTCCCCCTACATCAGCTCCTGAGGCAGCCGGCTACTGGGCCATTGGCCACGGGCCATCCCACTGGGGCAGTCTCTGGGCTCCATCGGCCCACCTCTCTCCTGAAACTCCTATTGCTGACTCCAGTCTCTGGCAGCTGGTTTCAGGGAGGGGGGATTAGTGTAGAAAAGTCTCGCCAGCAGAGAGATGGAGATGAGGATGGAGAGGAGGCTCTCCTCCCTTCTCCGCAGCCTGGATCCGAATGGCAGGAAGCCTGTGAGAGCTGCCGCTGCCTCCACGGGAGGAGTGTCTGCACCCAGCACTGTCCCCCCCTCACCTGTGCCCAGGTACCCACCAGCAGCCCGCTGCCTTCACAGAGCAGCTCCCTGGGTTCCTTCCTGGGTCGCTCCCCAGAGGTGGGTCTTAGGGGGTCCTGGGGCCATCCTCCTGAGGGGGCTGGGTACCGCTCCCTCTGCAGGGTGAGGTGACCGTGCAGGAACCAGGGAGCTGCTGTCCCACTTGCCGCCAAGAGACTCTGGGTATGCGGGGGACCTCGGGTACCTCCTGCTGTGCCTCTCCCTGCTCTGGGCCCTTCTCCCAAACTTCCCCCATGCCCACCCTAGGAGGCCTGCTTTCCTCAGTGCTGCCTGCCATGGGGATCTGCGGAGCGGAGACCCCCAGTGCTGCCTCATGGTGCCTGGCCACCCCTGCCCCAACAGCCACAGATGGCCCTCAGGTCCACATGCTGCTGTCCCCTTCACACAGAGTCCCCTCTGTTGGCCTTCACTCTGTGCCCTGCCCCCACCTCCTGCACTCCCTCCCTCCCCCCACAGAGGCGCAGTCAGCCTCCTGCCGGCATCTCACAGAGCTGCGCAACCTCACCAAGGGCCCCTGCCGCCTGGACCAGGTAGAAGTGAGCTACTGCAGTGGGCACTGCCCGTCCAGCACCAACGTCATGCCTGAGGTGCGCTCCTGAGGGCCTCCCACGGTGGGCCTCGGCCTGGGCAAATCCCGGGGACGGCAGGGACCCGGTCAATCTCAAGGGAATGCGGTCAGAGCCAGGGCTGAGTTTTCACCACGATGGTGGCCTCCACCTGCTGCTTGGCCCTGTGACCCTCCCCTGGGGTTGGGCTCCCCTGCCTACTGCAGGCCTCCACCCCTGCCAGGGGCCTCTTCTGCTGTAGGCCCACCAGGACACGAACAGGAAAGGCATACATTAGGGGCTAAATTAGGCTCTTGAAATCACAGCCCAGCCAGACCGGTGACACACAGCCTAATCCCAGACATTCCTGGCAAGGCGTTATGAGCACGTCACAGAAGACGGACAGAGCTCTGCCCTGCACTTGCTCTCCTCGGACCCAGAAGGCCCAACCCTGCACCTCCCTGACTTGGCTGCCCTGCTGGGCGAGGAGTGCTGGGATCTAGCCTGCCCGCAGGCTGGGAAAGGCCGCAAGAGGGAAGGCGGGTGTTTTGAGCAAAGGCGTTTGGCCCCGCCCCAGCTCAGCCACGCCCCCCCGCAGGAGCCGTACCTGCAGAGCCAGTGCGGATGCTGCAGCTACAGCCTTGACCCCGAGAGCCCCGTGAGGGTCCTGACCCTGCGCTGTCCCGGCGGCCGCACGGAGCCGGTGGTGCTGCCCGCCATCCGCAGCTGCCAGTGCAGCGCCTGCCTCGGTGGGTCTGGGCGGGGCCCGGCTGGGGCGGGGGCGGGGGTGCCCCGGGGGGCGGGGCCTGGGCGGGGCTTCCGAAGGGCGACCCGTTTCCCAACTCGCAGATCCCCGCGGGATTCCTCCTTCTTGACCCCTTCTGACGCGCTCCCTTCCCCTTCTCGGCTCTCTCGCTGGGTTCTTCTGCAATCGTACGCACAATTGGGGGTTTGGAGTCCGTCAGGGCGGCCTCTTAGCCGCCCGTCTCTTCCTTCCTTGCCGAGCGTCCGTGACCTCGGCCTCACCGCCTGGCTGACAACGTGCACAGGCTTGTTGGGAGGGTTTGGTGAGAGCGAAGGTGTGAGAGGTGCCTGGTTCTCAGTTAGGTGTCCGAGGCCGCACTGCGCCAGGTGCGAGAAACAGGTGCAGGGCCAATGATACAGCCGCGGGGGAGGGCAGAGCAAGAGCTAGCCTTTCTCCGGCCTTCTTCCCTGCGGGTCGTCCTCTCCTGCCAGTTTGCGCCACTGCCCTCCCTCTTGCCGCATCCCTTCCGGGCCTCCTGACCACTGCCTCCTTGCTAGTGCCTGTCCCCCTCATCTGTCCTCCAGGAGGGGATTTCTCAAAGCACTGAGGGCTCCGCTGTTCGAGGCTGCCTCCACCCTTCATGCCATCACAGGGCTCAGAGGCACCGAACCCCTCCTCCTCTTGTACTGACCCTCCCACTCCTTGCCCTGGTACCAGCATCTTCCAAATAAAGTGACATTGGCAGCAAGTCTGTGTGTAGAGTCTGCTTCTGGGGACAGGGGGGTAGGGGGCAGGGTGGGTCTGAGCCCTGTCCTCCACCAGCCTGAGACTGTCTCCAGGAGGGTTGTTAGTCTGCCCTGCTGGTGGACTTGGGTGAGTCACTTCCCATGCATGTGCCTCAGTTTGCACATCAGCAGGTTGCACACGAAGTCTGAAGTTCTCTGGTGCATGGCTTCATGTGACCAGTTCTGCCCCACTCTCTCCTGCTTCCAACTGCCATTCCCCTCATCCAGAGAGGAGTTCAGCTCGTGGGGCCATAGTCCTTGTTGCAGACACTCTGTGTCCGTGTGGATAATGCATTCAGTTTTCACACCCTTACGTCCAGTGACCTTCCCCTTCACTCCACAACTCGGCCCTTTTCAAACGCTTCCACATATTTACTTACAGATCAGGACTTCCTGTCCTTCCAGCCTGTTTGCTCTGGCATCCTGCACTGTCCTTTATTCCAAATTCACTGAACCCACCAGGGCCTCATTTTTGAGTAGCTCCCTCCTGTCTCCCCTTAGGAGTCATGGTCTGCATGGTGATTCTCAGCATCCAGTGCTCATTGGAAAGCCAGGGTGGCTTTTGAAACCCTGCTAATGCCCAGACCCCATCCTGAACCCATTAAATCAGATTCTTTGGAAACTTTGTGGGTAATTCCACATGCCCCTAGCTGGAACTGATAACCACTTTTCTATCATTATGAATTACTCCAGGGAAAGTACCATTAAATCCCTGCTTTCTACCCCCATTCATACTCCCCTGGCAACATTCCAACCCAGATATCTACCCAAGTTTCTGCTTCTAGACAGAATTTTGCAGATAGACTGTTCTTACCTTGCATTTGTGATCACAAACCTCAAACAGGCCTTTAATTCAACTTGACCATCCTACCTCTTCTGTTTCCCCATAAACTCTGTTTCCTGTTCTCTGCAATGACAATGCATGCCTTCTCTTTCCACCTCCCCTCTATTTTCATGAGATGACCTTGTCCCACAGAGATGTCATCAGATGGGAAAATCTATAGCAAATCTACGAACCAAACCGACATCCACTCTGTCTTCTCTTTCTTCTCTTGTGATGTCATCTAGAAGTATCCCTACTCCTGAAAAGGCCCTTGGTACTGTGGTCCTGGATCCTCTTGGTCTTGGGTCCTTGTATTGCCAACCCCCCCCCCACCCACCACGGGGCTTAACCATCAGTTCCCTTCCCATCAACAACAGAAAGAGGATCTCGTGTCTCACATCTTAGTCTCCTCTTTTGACCCATTTCCCTCCAGATACTGCCCCATCTTTCTTGGGGTACCTTTCATGCAGAAACTCAGTTTCCAGCCCGAGCTGTCTCAACCACCTCACCTCCAATGTTTCAATCCCAAAGCAAGAATTTATTATAAGGAGACAGGGATAACTCAGGGCAGAAATGCAGCTCTCCAAGGTACGTACACAGAAGGATAGCTATGGCTGAGCTGGGAGCTAGAGATCTCACCTTTCTAGAAAAGGTATTCTCCTCGACCCCTGCCGAGTTTAGCACTATTCAACCCTGGCTGGAAGAGCAGAATCGCATAGTGTAATGGAAAATGGTACTCAGACCTGCTCAGGGTTGGTAATCCAAATATGCAACGATCAGTGGGGCAATAAGTATTAATAAAAATTAAAATATAAACTATATTTCCTTGATTTTTTAATTTAAAACTTTGAATTGTGACTTAAAACACACACGTGTAAAAATTACATAAAACATTTTTATATTTAATTTAACCAACACCTTTATAATAATCACTTCCTTACTTTCTGTCACTTCTCTCTACGTATTTAATAAAGGAAGGGCCAAGAGGGGATTTTCTGGAGTGCTGGGAATTTTCTGTATCTGATCTCAGTGGCGCCTACCTGTTACACATGTAAAAACACATCAAGTTAAACACTTAAGCTTTTTGCGCTTTATTATTTGTACTATGATTATTATATGTATTATACGCATATTGTTTAGAAACTAAATAATATGTTGTTATAATCACTTCATGTAATTGTATGTCTGTAACCAGGGCACAGGGGTGCAAGAGGCATCTCGCTCTGGGGGTCCCCAACAGACCAGGTTAGGCACTCACCGCAGACAAAATCCAAAAACAAAGAGACAGCAGAGGTGAAAAAAGAAAGCAATTTATTTCAGTGAGGCCAACACCAGGAAGACAGCAGACTAATGGCTCAAAGACTGTCTCCAAAATGTTGAAAATACTTCTAAGTTTATAGCAAGTAAAAGTGGGACAAACGTTGCTAGGTACAAGCAAGTGGGATGGAAAGGTCAGGTCGATTGGCGTCTTGAGGTCAGTCATGTGGGGTCTTGCTGGCTCAGGGTAGTCATTACTGCTCGAGGGGATAATTGTGGTTCCCATCACAGAATGCTTTGCCTGAATTAAGACGTGAGCTGGAAAGAACTGAATTGGTTAGAAAGGACAGACTGAAGTCAAAATGGCGGCAGGTAAAGTCTTCTTTCATGTGTTTAAAAGAAGATGAGAGAAGAAAGGAAAGCAAGTGTATTTTTGTAGTTTGGTCTTCTTTCTTTCCTACTTAAATTCACCCTCTACTCTGCAGTAGGACTGATCCAACTAAAGTGCAAATTTGCCCACATTATTCACCGGCTTAAATTGAGGGAGCATACACTGCCTTCCACATCCAGCCCCCAAGTATGTCTCCAGTGACATTTTCATAATTTCCTGTCTTACACCATCCCTGCACACGCCATTTGCTCGGCTGTCTGGCTTTGCTTATGCTATTTCTTATGGCCAGTGGACCTCTTTGCAACATCTTTCTCCCCATTCAGTTTTAGTTAGCTCAGCTACCATAACAAAATACCACAGACCAGTGGTTTAAATAACAGACATTTATTTTCTCACTGTTCTGGACAATGGGAGTTCAAGACCAAGATGCCAGCATGGCTGAGTTCTGGTCAGGACTCTATTCCTGCCTTACAGACAGCTGTCGTCTCACTATTTCCTCATATGGCAGAGAGACAGCAAGCTCTCTGGTTGTCTCTTCTCACAAGGACACTAATTCCATCCCCATCCTCATGATCTCATCTAAACCTAATTACCTCCCAAAGCCCCCCCCCATCTGAATACCCTCACATAGGGGCTGCAGACAAATTTGGGGGTCCACAGTTCCATCCATAGCGCTTCACCTCGCTAACGCTTACCCCTTAATTCATTTCAGGTGCCACTTGCTCAGGAGATGCTGGACTAGCCATCCCGTATACTCCCACCACCACAGCGCTCCTGTCTTTATTTTAGTTATGTGTTTCTGGTCTGTTTCCCCAATAGACTATAAGCTCCTCGAAGGCGAAGTTTTGTTTCATTCAGCTTTGCATTCCCAAACCTTGCACAGTGCCTGGCATGTGGTAGGCAAGCAATGATGCTTTTTGAATGAATATTTAAGGGGGGGAAAAAAAGCATCGCACTCCTATGTTAAATAAAATCTGAAAACTTCAAGGCTGACACTGGCCCTAAAAGTGCGAGGAAACAGACGCAAGAACAGGCACTGTCGTTGTCCAGGGAGAACGGTGTACCCTCCGTGCAGGGTCTGGGAGAGCGCGGCGCGGGAGCTGAGAACTGCGCCCGAGGCAGGTGGGAAGGGCAGCGAGCGAGCTGCTCGGCGTCCAATCAGGGCCTCGCGTTTCGGGAGCCAATAGCGGTTTGAGAGCCGCTTAACTAGGCCGGACTACGCTTCCCGTGATGCCCCGCCGCCTCGGCCCGGCGGCTGCCGTAAAGCGGTTCGCTCGATACGGCACTAGTCCCGGCCGCTCGCCTCCCTCGGCGGCTGGAGCACTACCGCTCTCCCGACGGGGGAGATCTCTTGCCCCGCCGTGCGCCCTCTCCGTCCGGGGGCCCCGGTCCCCAAGGTGTCGCGGCGGCGGTATTCACAGGCCTGGCCGCGGGGGGAGGGGGCGGACTGGAGGCAGTGGCGGGGTCAGCATCGGCCACCGCAAACGGGGCCATGGAGCCCAGGGAGTCGGGGAAGGTAGGCCTGGAAGGGCCCTGGGGCCGCCCTCTCCCCTCCGGTAGATCCCTCACCTGGGCTCCCGCGAGGCGGGCGGTGAGGGCGGAGTCCCCCGCAGATGAACCAGCCTTGCAGGGAAGGACTCGCCTGATCGCCCGCCGCCTCTTCCTCCGCACTCGGGCGGCCTTCTCCCCACGGGTGCGGCAGGGAGGAGCGACAGTACTGGCTCCGAGCCCCGAGCGGCCTCCTTGTCCCTCTCCCGCTGGCCGAGCTGCCCTCTGCCCAGGGGCCGCTCGGTTGATGCTGGGGTGGGTGACCCGCGCAGTGTAAAGGTGCTTCCTGTTTTCCCACTCCTCCGTCGGGACTTTGGAAGAGGCCCTGCGTGTTTTAAGGCTGGTTAAGACGTAGTGGAAGCCAAGGGGCAGGGATTAGCCCTGATTACATGGATCCCCCTAACCAAGCAAGGCCCAAGAAGAAAAAGAGAAGGCATCTGGCATACTTCCGGCCCACTTAAAGTTGCTAGCTTACCTCCTTTTTGTAGTAGCATCGCCCGGAAGCATCTTCCATAAACGTCCTTCAGGCTTGGGGCAGGAGGCTGTGAGTTGGAAGAAAAGGTGGGAGAAAGTGCTTGACGGTAGAGTTAAGTGGGTTTGACAGGATTGCTAGAGCTCAGAGGCAGTGTCAAAAGACCCCTTGGTTGTAGGCATTTGACGGGGAGACAGTGGCAGCCTCTTGGGACTAAGATCTTTCTGGATGTCCTTTGCTGCCTGCTGCCAGTTCTTGAGGATTGCTTCTTTGGCAGGGAGGGAATTCCTTCCACATTATTTTCAAGTGTGTATTGAGTCTCTCCTTTAAAAAGGAAAAAAAAAAAAAAGGTTAATAAATACGTGATCAGTGGTTTACCGTGAGGGAGGTGGTGGGATACAGGATGAACATGAAGTGACCACATTTCCCAAGGAATTCTCCCCCAGATTTGACTTCAGGAACTAGGACAAGCCTGGAAGGATTGTCTCATAGATAAAAGAGAGAAAGGATAACAAGGTTATTTTCATGCTGTAGCTTCTCCTGAAAAGGCTGGGAAGGACTGAGTTAACAAAAGAAGTTACTCTTTTCTTAAGCCTCTCTTCCAGACTCCCTCCCCTCACAGGCTACAGTGATGCATTTAACAGTTGAAACAACCAAAGTAAACAGTCTAAAACAAATAAAGCTCAATGGAAACTAAGTAAAGAAAGATTGAAGGTGAACTCTGTGCCAGCCTCCTGTTAAGCACCATAGGGGATATCAAAGAAGTAAAGGAAATGGCTCTTACTCTCAGGAAATATCCCCTGATGAGTTCCGGTTCACCCTAGTTTGGGGAGCAAAATGTAATTTCAATTGGCATTGAAGATTGGAATTAGTAATTTGAGGTTGATGTCAAGCTGTTCCATTTAGTTTTAGGCTTTCTTAGCTTTTGTTACCACATTTTATTTTATTTTTTGTTTTTGAGAGAGCAAGCGGGAAAGGGGCAAAGGCAGAGGGAGAGAGAGAATCTTAAACAGGCTTCATGGGCAGAGCCTGATGCAGGGCTCGATCTCAGGACCCTGAGATCTGACCTGAGCTGAAATCAAGAGTCGGTCGCTTAACTGACTGAGCCACCCAGATTCCCCTAGGCTTTCTTGGCTTTTAATGGGAGAAGAGAGAAATGCAAACATTTGGAAGGTAGGGGAGAGATTTGATGTCCTGTTTAGGCCTAACTGCTAATTCAAAACACTGGGAACTGGAACTTTTCATTCTTGATTCTAATCTTGATTGCAAGGTGTCTCAAAAAATGCTCACCCTTCCCAAGTGCGTCAGTTTTCTAACCTGGGAAATTAGAAGGTTACCCAAAGATGAAATAAAGTGATTGAAAAACAAAGTGGCAGGTTAGATATCTTGCAAATGAGTGGCAGCAACTAGGCTGGGTGAAATGTCTTATTCTAAGTCCCGTTGTGAGGATATATGTCCATGTTTGGCTCCAGCCTGGAAGACTGGGGCTCCACTGGAGGTAGTAGCTTGGTCTATTATTAGTATCTTCCTTTGTTGCTGTTTTGTGATATTTATTAACTAAAAGCAGTCTTGGCCTAGGACTGGTTGTGGATTGTATTGCTTGCCATTGGCAGAATAATGGATAGAAGTCAAAGATTTGCCCCCATTACTCTATCCCATTATCCTGTTTTATTTTCATGCCAGCCCTTATTACTATATAAAGTTCTCACATTTATCTATTCACATTATGCTGACTTTACTGTCTGCTGTATCCCCAGCTAGGACAGTGGAGCTGCATCTGGCATTTCATTCTCAGTATTTTTGGAATGAATGACTCATAAAATAGCATCATTCCGGGAGCCCTTCTGCTTACAGGGTGTGATGCTCTGAAGAACACCGCAGTCTGACACCTCCTGTACCCTCCGGGAGACATTTGATTTTGGGGCTGCTAAATGGGAGTATTTATTGTGTATATATTTACTACCTCAGCATTTCTGGTTCCTACTCCCTCTGTCTCTTCCATGGAAGTGCTCATTCTGATCTCATTTTTCTCTGGACCCAGTTCTATCATTGCACTATGTCACTGATGCCTGTCACCTCATGTCATTGATGCCTGTCACCTCCTGCTAGATTTTAATCTCCTTGACAATAGTGATTTTGTTTTCCATGTCTTAGGATCACTGTGCACCAAGCACATACAAAACAAACAATAAATGTATATTGAATGAAATAATTAAGTGCCTGTGAAAAACTTACTGCATGATGTGTGTGTGTGTGTTTGGGGGAGGGGGGTGATGGTGAAGGTATTTTATAAAATAAGCCAGTTAGCATAGGCTTCTTGAGTACCTCCAGCTCCATGAGGGATGCAAAGGCTTCCTTGCTCAGGGGAAGGAGAAGTGCTAAGAGTAGGTGGTTAGGAAATGCCTCCCGAAAGAGACAGAATGTGAATAGGAACCTGATGGGTGGGTAGACTAAGTAGGTAGGAGGAAATAGGCAGAGTCGGGGAATCTAAAGGTTGGGTTTGTAGAGGGAGGAAAGGTGCAAGATATGTTCAGTGATTGCAGTTACACTAATCTGTCTGCGGTGGAGATTCCAGGTCTGGCTAAAGTTGGGAAGGTGGGTTAGCCTCAGATGGAGGGAACTTGGTGCTGGGCTGAGCCAGAGTTCTGCCCTATAGACAGTGGGAACCACTAAAATAGAACAGTCAGGGACACTCTGCTTTATATATAAGATAAGAAATTGCTCTTATTCAAGATTTGTGTTTCCTTTACATTGAGGTCACTTGGAATCAGAAGGTTCTTGCCACAATATTGGTTAAAAGAGAAATCCCGGAGTTAGGGCAGTCACTCTCGTTGGGAAGACACTTCTTTATTGTCTAAGCATTCAGTCCTACCGTACTCTTTGTCCTTGTGGAAGCTATAGCTAAAGTGATGGGTCCCTTGGCTTTCATTATAAGCCCACCTGTTCCCTCAGGAAGAGAGGGGGAGGGATGAACAGGAATAGGGAGCCCTGCTTGTCCTTGGTCACAAGTTTAACCTGTCCCAGTCGGAACAGCTTGCTCACTAGTCCTGGGTCACAGTAATCATCCCGGGATCTGCCTTCAGCATAATCTCAATGTTCTCTCCCCACCTTCCCCATGCTGGCTCTCCTTAGCCCATTTCGTATGTCTACCCCTTTCCTGCCTTGTTTAGTGGAGCCCATCTTCAGCAGAATTTTGGAAATATAATCACATTTTGCTTTGGAAGACTCTCTGAGAGCAAATAGTTATTTAAAACACATACATTTGGGGCGCCTGGGTGGCTCAGTGGGTTAAGCCTCTGCCTTCGGCTCAGGTCATGATCTCAGGGTCCTGGGATTGAGCCCCACATCGGGTTCTCTGCTCAGTGGGGAGCCTGCTTCCACCACCTCTCTCTGCCTGCCTCTCTGCCTACTTGTGATCTCTCTCTGTGTCAAATAAATAAATAAAATCTTTTTTTAAAAAACCATATACATTTGGCAGGACAGTTCTATTCTTAAAAAATGTTATTATTGGAATGTAGTTGCCATACAATATTATATTGTGGCAGGTGTACAACATAGTGATTGGAAAACTCTATACATTATTCAGTGCTCATTGCAAATGTCACCATCTCCCACCACACAACATCATTACATATTATTGCCTATATTCGCCATTCTGTATTGTTCATCCCCATGTCTTATTTGTTGTATTACTGGAAGTTTGTACTCTTAATCACTTTCACTTATTTCTCCCACCACCATCTCTCCATCCCTCCATCCCTCTGGCAACCATCAGTTTGTTCTCTGTGTTTATGAGTTTGTTTCAGTTTTTTAATTTGTTTTGTTTCTTAGATTCCACGTATAAGCTAAGTCATATTCTCTGTCTTTTTTCTCTGGCTTATTTCACTTAGCATAATACCCTCTAGGTCCATCCATGTTGTCACAAATGGCAAGATCTTGTTCTTTTTTATGCCTGAGAAATATGTGTGTGTGTGTGTGTGTGTGTGTGTGTGTGTGTGTAATTTTTTTGTTTGTTTGCTGATGATTTCCTTCACCACTTTTATTTTGGTATGGTCCCAATAGTTATTTTTGCTTTTAATTCCCTTGCCTGAGGAGATAGCTGTAAATATGTTGCTAAGGTTGATGCCCAGTTACTGCCTATGCTTTGTCTTAGGAGTTTTATATGATTTCAGTTCTCACGTTGAGGTCCTTCATCCATTTTGAAGTTTTTTTTGTGTATGATGTAAGAAAGTGGCCCAATTTCAATCTTTTGCATGTAGTTGTCCAGTTTGCCCAGCACCATTTATTCAAAAGTCTGTCTTTTACCCCCTGCATATACTTGCCTTCTTTGTCGTAAGTTAATTGACCATATATGAGAAGATTCATTGCTGGGCTGTCTATCCTGTTCTATTGATCTATGTGTCTGTTTTTGTGCCAGTAGCATACTGTTTAGGTTACTATAGCTTTGTAGTATATCTTGAAATCTGGGATTGTGTTACCTCCAACTTTAATCTTTTTTCTCAAGATTGCTTTGGCTATTCAAGGTCTTTGTGGTTCTATACAAATTTTAGCATTACTTGTTCTAGTTCTGTGAAAAGTGCTGTTGGTTTCTTCATATGGATTACACTGAATCTGTAGATTGCTTTGGGTAATATGGACATTTTAATGATATTCTTTCAATCCATGAGCATGGTATGTCTTTCCATTTGTGTGTGTGTGTGTGTGTGTGTGTGTGTGTGTGTGTGCATTTTCTTCATTTTTTTCATCGATGTCATATAGTTTTCTATTCCTAGATATTTTATTCTTTTTGTTTTGATTTTAAATGGAGTTTTTAATCATTTATCCCTATGCTACTTTGTTATTAGTGTAGAGAAATGCAACAGATTTATGTATATTAATTTTGTATCCTGCAACTTCACAGAATTCATTTATTAGTTCTAATAGCTTTTTGGTGGAGTCTTTAGGGTTTTCTATGTGTAGTATCATGTCATCTGCAAATAGTGACAGCTTTGCTTCTTCCTTGCCAATTTGGGTGCCTTGTATTTCTTTTTCTTGTCTGATTGCTGCAGCTAGGACTTCCACTACTACGTTGAAAAACAGTGGTGAATGTGGAGATCCTTGCATGTTTCTAGGAATTTATCCATTTCTTCTAGGTTGTTCAATTGTTGACATTTAATTTTTCATAAAATGAATACATAAGAGAAAATATCCCCTTATAATCCTTTCTATTTCTGTGGTATCCACTGTTACTTCTCCTCTTTCACTTCTGATTTTATTTATTTGAGTCCTCTCTATTTTTTTCTTTTTTCTTTTTTTAACGATTTTATTTATTTGACAGACAGAGATCACAAGTAAGCAGAGAGGCAGGCAGAGAGAGAGAGGAGGAGGAGGCAGACTCCCTGCTGAGCAGAGAGCCCAATGTGGGGCTCAATGTGGGGCTCGATCCCAGGACCCTGGGATCATGACCTGAGCCAAAGGCAGAGGCTTTAACCCACTGAGCCATCCAGGCGCCCCTCTATTTTTTTCTCGAGTTTGGCTGAAGGTTTATCAGTTTTGTTTATCTTTTCAAAGAATCAGCTCTTGGTTTCATTGATTCCTTTTTTTTTTTTTTTTTTTTTGGTCTGTATTTCATTTATTTCCACTCTGGTCTTAATAATTTTGTTTCTTTGGGCCTTGTTTGTTCTTCTTTTTCTAATTCCTTTAGGTGTAACATTAGGTTGTTTGAGATTTTTCTTGTTTCTTTAGGTAGCCCTGTATTGCTATAAATTTCCTCCTTAGACTGATTTTGCCATGTCCCGAAGATTTTGGATCATTGTGTTTCCAAACCACTTTTGTTTTTACTGTTCATTCAGACATATTCATAGACAGAAGATAGGTAGGTTACACACCAAAGGGGATTGTGGGAGATCTTAAAACATTTTTTCTGCTCACTGTCTAAATTTTCTGCAGTGAACATGTATTGACTTATAAGAAAAGTACTCATTATTTTTTTAAGCATGCAACTCAACAGTGACTGGTAGGAATTATCTGTATTGTTTTTCTCAAGAAGCTTCTATTGTTAAGTTAAAATAGATATTTCATGTGCTTGAAATCTGACTGTAAAGTTAGAGGGCAGTTTTAGAACAAATATGCTAGAACTTGTCATAGATGGAAATGCATGTGTCCCTTTCACAGTTGTCACTCTGGAAGGACTTCTATTTACCCCAAAATGCTGTTTCCCAAGATGTTGTTTTGCTTTGGCAAAATTTATTTTTTGTTAGTAATTTTATGTATTACACTAGGTGATAAATGTTTGTGGTATGAAATTAAAAGGATAAACAAGCAATATGTTCTGACTATTTCCTTTTCTGGTTCTTTCTTTTATAATGATTTGTTGCATGGCTGCAGTGGCTTACCTCTCTGAGGCTATGATGATAATTTTATTTTTGTAAAGTTTTCTTCTCCATGCCTCATGTTCATTTCCTCAGTTCCTACCAGCCTCTTACCCCTGCAACTGTCTGTTTTGGTCTCTTTAGCCCTGTGAGATCCTTTCCTCGCATGTCTGGTGGTCCTGCTGTTAGCTAACACTAATAGTCAGAATCCCAAATTCTAACCAAAGCTCTGAGTGCATAGAAGGGGGCTTGTCAGTGCAGAGCTGTGCAGGGGAATCTAGACAGGCATTTGTAGGAGAATAGCATCCCCTCACCCCCTTCTCATTGTCTTAGCCTTACTTACTGCCTTTACTCCTAGATTAGAGGTTCTTGGCGCTGTAGATTCTGAGGCTTTTTTGTGTTTTCTGGTATAAATTAGGGGGTTTCTCAATTTGTCTTCTGCGGGGTGAGGATTTGATTTTCTTGGATCTGCTCAGTTATTACTTTTTCAGTTTCCAAAATTGTATTACTTTTGTCCCCTTGTTTTGTTTCCCATCCTAGTGGGGGTTTCACTTTGGATTGTTTTGGTGGGAAGGGTGTCCTTTAAATTCACAAGGAGGATGTAAAATTCAGTGTAATTGTTTAATCTCCCATCTTACTCCAGTACTCCCTGAAATATTTTCTGACCCCCATACTCTTTTTTGGCAGAACGGAGCCACTTTACAAACCCCATGGGATATAGTTCTCCACTCTAACCCTTTCCCTGTCTTGATCACTGATTTTATTGACAGATGTAGCTCTGAGTGACTTTCGGCTCTTTCTAGGAATCAGATATATCCTCCTTACCAGGTTCAAGATTTTGCACAAGAATGTGCCATAAGTTGTTGCTGAGACCCTGGCTGAGAACTGCTGGGTACTGGGGCGGGCAAACAGCATGTAGAGAAAAGATAATGGAATTCCGGAGTTGGCCCTCTTGATGACTCCCGTTTCGGTGTGTGGCCCTTCCTAGAAGGGATTCTCATTCCCACTATGATTTGGACCCAGGAGGTGAGAGTAGTGGGGTGTAGGTCTTACATGGAGATGGACAATGCCCCTCTCCTGATCTGATAGGTTCCCAGAGTACAGGTGCCCTCAGGTGGTCATGAACTCAGGTGTGAAAGGCTAATTTAAGCAGGAAGTTGGTGCTTAGTTGGTGTCATTTTCCCCTCCAGGCTCCTGTGACGTTTGATGACATCACTGTATACTTGCTTCAGGAGGAGTGGATGCTGCTGAGTCATCAACAGAAGGATATCTGTGGTTCCGAAAAGCTGGTGGCTCCACTAGGTATGGGCTTCTGTTCGCTTCCCTACCACCTGAGTCTAAATCAGCATTCCAGACTATATCCAACTATGATACATTTGAGAATTTTCTGGACTCCTACCATTTTTTTCAGATCTGTTTACATTATTCATCTGCTGAGTCCCATATGTAACTTAACTGTGTGTGGATTCATGCCCCACCCTTTCTCTTCTCCCCTTTGATTGGGCAAGAGAATTGGGGGAAGTCGGGCCTGTCAAGGCTGGACCTCACCATATCACAGCATTCCAGGTGGGAAGCCCCACCTGTAGTCTGTGCAGCCACAGGGTGGATTTTGTTTCAGGCACCCATAGGGCCCTGGAGGTCATGAGTGGTGGTAGAAAGAGCGTCATCCGGCCTGTGGGAATCTGCTCTCAGTCCCGGCCTCCACCATGTGACACTGGTGTGCCTTCCACCAAACCCTTTCACTTTTAAGATTTTATTTATTTATTTAGAGAGAGCGCAGAAGGAGAGGGAGAGAGAGAACCTCCAGCCGACTCCGTGCTAAACCCAGAGTCTGATGCCAGGCTTGATCCCACAACCCCGAGATCATGACCTGAGCCGAAACAGAGTCAGATGCTTAATCAACTGAGCCACCCAGGTGCCCCCAAACCCTCTCACTCTATAAGCCTTGGTTTCCTTCAGAAACCTGTCATAGAGGCTCACTGAGATAAAAACAACTTCAAACTTGGTGCCCATGTAGGGATTTTTCATCTTTTCTGTTTTGTGAATGTCGTTTCTCTGCTTCTGTGGATAGACTCTTGGTACCATGGACAGAGGTGATTGTTGTTCAGCCTGTGCGTACAACATATGTACTGTCTTCTCAGTTCACCTCGATGGCCACCTGCCGTGCCTGTCCAAGGCTAGTGGGAGCAACAGTCTCAGCTCTCTGTGGGTCGAGGGATTGCAGCTGGCTTGGGTCTTCTCCCATGCCTGCCAACACCACTTTGGAAACTTCTGATTCTTTTAAACCAGAAGTTGCCGAGTTGCAGCTCATGAGCCTTTTTTGGCTTTTATCACTTTGTTGGTTTCTTTACAATATTTAAAAATTTGGGGTGGGGGAAGAAGCCCCTGGGCGGCTCAGTCGGTTAAGTGTCTGCCTTTGGCTCAGGTCATGATTCCAGGGTCCTGGGATCGAGTCCTGCATCAGGCTCTCTGCTCAGCGGGGAGCCTGCTTTTCCGTCTGCCTCTACCTCTCTCTCTCTCTCTGTCTCTCATGAATAAATAAATAAAATCTTAAAAAAATTTTTTTAAGTCTATTTAAGTAATCTCTATACCTAACATGGGGCTTGAACTCACAACCCCTAGATCAAAAGCCACACGCTCTACCAACTGAGCCAGCCAAGAGCCCAGTCTCTTTACAATATTTAATAAGTTGTCAATATTTAACCTGTGGGAGCTTTCACATGGAATTATGATTTCTGGTTTTTCTTGAAAAGTGGGACAGTCTGGCAGTGCTGACACTGTGTTGCCCATGGTGGCCTCCCCCTGGTGGGGGAGCAGCAGCCGCCCCCAACACAGGTCCCACAGCCTCCTCATCTGGCCTGGTTTTCTCAGTTATGTTATCGGTCTGACCCCTCTCCGCCTTTGGGTTTATGAGCCTCAGTGAAAATCACTATGAAATCGGTAGTTTTCATACCTTTTCAGCCTCAAAAGGGCACAGAGCCTTGCTTGTGCTCTCCATTGCATTCAGACCCCCATTCTTTTAGGGCCCTCGTGGGTATTTGAGTTTCTGTCTGAGTTTCCAAACCACTATGCTAAAGCATTGAGATTCCCACCCATGTCCTTGACCAATTATCTCACGGTGTGGAGAGGATGTCCCAGGTAGATCCTTCCTTCATGTTGGGATGCGACCTGGATCCAAGACTTCATAAGGGGCTTCTTCTCTCTGTTCCCGACTCAGGACCAACTGTTGCCAACCCAGAGCTGTTCTGTAAGTTTGAGCAAAGGCCAGAGCCATGGCCAGGCAGTGTAAGGGGCCAGAGGAGTGTCCCGAGCCAGCGCCCAGGTGAGTGTGGATCCGCGTGGGAGGAGGGCTGCTAGCTGGGGAGAAGGAGCAGAAAGATGGGCACCAGGACCCCTGTCTTGGTTCATGCTTGGCTTCTCTCCATTCTCTGCCAACTTATACATGAATGCTGTCCTTCCCCAGCAGTGCTGCCCCCTTATTGGAAATATGCACACCACGCCCAATATCGTTCTCAGAATTCTCCATCTCACTTCATTTTAGTCCTCCTGAGAGTATATGTTGATTTATAATTCTCTAGGCATGACTTTGTCATGTTGACTCCTATAGTCCCAGTGCTGAGACCAATGCCTGGCACAGAGCAGTTACACAATAAATAACCGCTGGATGGATGAACAGATGTCTGCCAAGTTTTAGGGATTTACCTTGGCTTTTCTCTGAGAAGCCTGTCCTATTGTTCTATTGACGGACAGGCCAGATGACATCTGGTCACTGGATGGGATGGTTGAGTGCAGCCCCCACTATAGGAGAGAAGGGAGGCCAACAAGCTCTTAGAGGAGCTGGCTCACAGGCATCTGCTCTCCCCTGGGATCTGTCTCAGAGGACCACAGGGAGCCCGAGACTTCAGAGACACTAACTGATTTTGTTTTCCAAGGCATGGCTTTAAAAAAAAAAAAAATATTTATTTATTTGACAGAGAGGGTAGAGGAGGAGAGCACAAGCAGGGGGAATATAGCAGGCAGAGGGAGAGGGAGAAGTAGGCTTTCTGCCAAGCAGGGAGCCTTATGCGGGGCTCCCTCCCAGGATCCAGGGCTCATGACCTGAGCCGAAGGCAGACGCTTAACCGACTGCGCCACCCAGGTGTTCCCAATGCTTGGCTCTTAATTTTGACTCTGCTTTCTCTTTATTAGTCACTTTGTGCTCCTGGGTTGGCTACAATTGTATAGACTGGTCTGTTGGCCTGGAGCGAATAGCCTTGAGGCCACTGGGCATCTGCACTTGATGCATAAGAAGTTGTTGCATAAGAAATGGGTGTGGAGGGGTTTAAAGCTACCTAAGCTGTGTTTCGTCGAAGGAGTGAATAAGGAAACTTCTAGTTTAGCTTGAAAGAAAAATCTTAGTTCACGAGAGTTATTGCCTCGTTGGAAGGGCTGTGGTGTGAGAGAGGACTTGGGTCTCTCTAGGGGGCTGAAGTAGCGACCCTGAGTGGAAGTTACTCAAAAGTGGATCACAGGGACACCTGGGTGGCTCAGTGGGTTAAAGCCTCTGCCTTCAGCTCAGGTCATGATCCCAGGGTCCTGGGATCAAGCCCTGCATCCGGCTCTCTGCTCAGCAGGGAGCCTGCTTCCCCCCCCACCTCTCTCTGCTTGCCTCTCTGCTTACTTGTGATCTCTATCTGATAAATAAAATCTTTAAAAAAAAAAAAGTGGATCACAACTTAAGGCAAACTTGGGACCAAGCGCATCTACCCAGGATGTAGGTCGTCCCCTTACCTGAAAGATACACGAGTAAAGTGCAAATGCCTGTCTGGTAGGGGTCCTGGAGAGGGGCATTCCTGCTGAGGACAGAGTTCCAGAATTCGGCTTTAATTATCTTCTTTAGCCAGCATTTTATTAAGTTCAGTGTTCTTATCCATAAATAAGTTGGAACTCCTGAAGATGGCGCCGCTCTTGTAGGTTGCCAAGATGGAACTACAGGGATCTCTTTTTGGCCAGGTTATCTGCCCTTTAAACTTCGAACGAGGGGAGATGCTTAAAGTTCATTTGATTGTCTTCTGCGTCAGGTCCAATGGGCCTGGGGGGCTGGGGTCTGAGAGAAGAGAATTCCAAGTAGAGCCTGGGCCACTCTTGTGTGATTTCCAGCTCTTGTATTTGCTACACCAAGAGGCCTGTGAGGTACAGTGACCCTAACTATAGGATTTCCAAGCAAATTCCATTGGTCTCTTTTCTCTAAAGGGAAAAACAAGATGGGCTGCATGGAAGAAAGGGACTCACGAAGTCCAGCAGGAGAAGCCGGACGGGACCTGCCCCCGCAGAAGAAAGCCTGTTTTTCCCACTTCAGCACTGAGCATGGCAACACTGAGGTAGACTGTGCAGGAAAAAGCAAAAAACCCTTGAAACCCCGCTCTATCCAGAAGTCTTGGTTTACGCAGTTCCCATGGTTGGTCATGAATGAGGAGCAGACGGCTCTCTTTTGCTCTGTTTGCCGAGAATACCCATCTGTCAGGGACAAACGGTCAAGATTAATAGAAGGTTATACAGGACCATTCAAGGTGGAGACTCTCAAATATCACGCCAAGAGCAAAGCTCACCTGCTCTGCGTCAATGCCTTGGCAGCACGGGACCCCGTCTGGGCGGCCCGTTTCCAGAGTGTCCGAGAGGAATGTGGAGATGTCCTGGCCAGCCCGGAGCACCTCTTCACGGCAGGGTACCCCATACTGTACCCCCCGGGGGCTCTGGGAGTCTATGATAACATGGCCCAGCTCCTGCCCAGCACAGGGGCTGAACTGGAGGACCCCGGGGGGAATGGAGCAGTTCCTACACTGTATCTAGACTGCATTCCTGAGTTGAGGCAAAAAATTGCTGATGATGCCCACAGCTCCTCAAAGGTCAACATTTTGCATGATGCTGCTGCTGAACCCTGTGGCCAGGTAATGTGTTTGTAATGATTGCTGTGTCTCAAGCGGAAAGAGTCCATGCTAGCAGCAACAGGTGTCACAAGACAATGATGGGAAAATCAGTAGCCATATCTGCTGTGAACATTATAATGTTCCATACACTAACATGCTTAGGAGGCACTAGGCATGGTTTTGGGTGCTTTACTAGTGTTATCTCATTTATTTAAAGGTTTTCTTGTTTATTTTAGAGAGTGAGAGAGTACGCATGGGGGAAGAAGCAGAGGGAGAGGGAGAGAGAATCTCAAGCAGACTCCACACTGAGCGTGGAGGCAGATGCGGGGCTGGATATCAGTAGTCTGAGATCAGGACCTGAGCTGAAACCAAGAGTCTGCACTTAACCGAGCCACCCAGGTGCCCCATGTTATCTCATTTATTTAAGACCACAGCCCTATTATTTTCATCTCCTTTTGCAGATAACAAAACATAATTAGTGGGACAGAACATTCCAGCTTCTGAAAAAAAGGAAACCTCTAAGTTCAGGACAATAATCTTTATCCAGAATCCCAAACAGTCACAGACCTCAGTAAATAATACACGACCACAAAACCCCATAGCTCTTCAATAATTAATTTCTAAAATGTTTCGACTTTAAGAATCATGCAGCGCTGTTAAACACTGCAGTTCCCTCACACATAAAACAAGCTGTTTTATGTGATGATTCCGATGCTGCTCTGAGGCCGATGGAGCAAGTCCGATCGAACTGGCCTTGTTGGGAGGTCACAGAGCGTCAGGGGGACTGATGTGGCCGGAGCCCGAGGGCTCATGGGGCGCCTGAGCCTGGGCGCGGCCACAGACGGTACCGCCCCCACCCTGTGCATGCGCATGCGCACAGCCGGACCAGAAGCTCTTGCGCTCACCTCGCGGGTACCTTGTAAGTTCCTCGTTCTTTGCAAAGTTGGCTGTGAGGAACCTGTGTGAACTAAAGTTTTGTGTAACGAGATCCTTCACCGTTTCTGAACTATTTCATGCAAGCGGGATTTTACTAGAAACCGTTCTGAGTGCCCCTCCGGTATTTCCGTGAGAAAAGCTCAGTTGTTCGTACATAAGGGCCCAGCTCAAGTTAGGAAGCTTGAATTTTTCCAGAATCTAGAAAAGTGAAGAAGCTCATTTCTCTTCATGTTCATGTTCCTTCTGATGAGTAGGTCTGACCGTTTATGATTTGAATTCCTTTAGGAACAAGGCGTGCGTCCGCAGGGTCGCTGAATATGAGCGTCTTTCGTTCTGCATTTCTTCTTCTTCCGTCCTCTCCCAGCGGGAAGTCACGGCAGGTGCTAGAGGCTCACGCACACCGCTGTAGTCACGGATGGGGAGAAGCACCCCCTCGGGACCGATGGGGCCGAGTGCAGTCATAAGGCTCTAGGGCATAGAAGTCCTTCTCAGAGACCCTAGCATCAGGCCGAGGCTCATTTGTTTTATCTACTAACTCTGGGCCTCACGAATTTGTTTCTTCGACTTTCGATGGAGTCATTAATTCCTCAGAGTTACATCTGGGCCTCTCGGCGAGCCCCCCAAGAGAAGTAGGCCTTGAGAAAGACCCTAAAAGTATCCCGCTGAGTGTCTGGCGTAAGAGGCGTATTGAGTGACTGCTGCTCTTTGTTGCAGGATCCTTCTGAAGAGGGGCTGTTTGAGGAGGTTCCTGTGGTGTTTGAGGATGTGGCAGTGTACTTCACCCGGGAGGAGTGGGGCATGCTAGTCAAGCGGCAGAAGGAGCTGTACAGAGACGTGATGCGGATGAATTATGAGCTGTTGGCTTCCCTGGGTAAAGACTCACATAGACCTTTGTTTGCCGCCATCGTCCGACATGGGAAACCCTCAAGGGCAGCTGTGGCTTGTGGTCATCTTCCCATCCCTGCCCTCTCCCCATCCATAGACAGAGAGAGATGATATTTTTTGCACCTCAGAACTCTCCCCGCTTTGGGCTGCGGTTTTCACCCCCTTGCATCCATCTCGCCGTCCATCATCCATGCTCAACCGAACATGTGTTGACTTACCTCCTCCGTGCGAGATGAACACAAATGCAGCAAGGTCTCGGCTTTCGGGGGCTAGCAGGTTTTCAGGAGAGACAGACACTTGAGTAAGAAACTCTGAATAACACGAGCTCCGTAAAGGGAGTTCAGAAAAGTGCCCTGGGGCTGCTGGGAAGGGTGATTCCATTTTGCTGGGCATGGGTGGGAGGTGTCAGGAAAGTCTTTACAGAGTACAACATGTTTTAACTGAGTCAAAGGACAGGACAGGTGGACAAGAGAAGGAAGGCCATCCGGACATGACAGAGGAAGGGACCGCATGAGCAGAGGCATGGAGGCGCCTCTCCTTCTGCGCCAGGCCTGCTTCCTGGTGCCTAGGGAGCCAGCAAGGGTCAGTGGGCTCAGCCGAGGAGTCACTAGAGGGGCCTCTGCAGAAAGATGAACATGATAGTGCTTGTTACCTTCTCAGAAGAGTGCTCTCTCTCGAATCTGCCTCCTGGTCTCTTTGCCTCCTGTATCCAGGGTTCAGGGTTCTTGGGGGCATCAGAAGGGAAAGACAGCTCTTCATCTTAGAAAGCTCTCATTTACGTACTAGCATGTCTGATGACAGCAACCTTCCAGAAGAGGCTGCTGTACGTGACCCAGGAATACAGCAGCCATCTGCACTGTGGCTTCTACAGGATAAGACCTAAGGATATTTGTGATTTCATTGATGTCCTAGCCCTCGGTCTCTACTGCCCTTTCATGCACAGCTAAGATATGGATTATGTTCTGCACATTCCTGACCCATATGCTTGTTTTTATCATTGTTCATCATTTTTAAATGGCTCCCCAAACATTCACAAATGATGTAACAACTGGTTTCTTTTATGACGATAGAGGTATTGTCAAGGCAGCCCAGGGCACTTGTATGAAGTACGTCTTCAAAGAGCATCACTACCCCTGTTTAAAATCAGTGAGAATGGGGATGCCTGAGTGGCTCAGTTGATTAGGCTGCTACCTTTGGCTTGGGTCATGATCCCCCCCAGGATCCCCAGGGGTCCTAGGATTGAGTCCCGCATCGGGCTCCTTGCTCGACGGGCAGCCTGCTTCTCTCGCTGCTTCTGCCTGCCACTCTGCCTGCCACTCTGCCTGCTTGTGTGTACTCTCTCTCTCTCTGACAAATAAATAAATAAAATCAGTGAGAATGAAGGGAAATTCATTTTTGAGAAGTGCACACCCACTTAAAAGAAGTTGGCTTTTCCTTAAAAGGAACATGCAGTAGTGATGCGCCTTGCCCTCGGGACCCCGTGGAATGCAGCGGGTGACCGGTGTGGAGCACAGGGCATCTCTGGACATCGGGCTGTCCGCACTCCATGTAAGCATTGGTCAGTTTCTCTTTAACTGACATGAGTGAGAAGTGGGGAAAACTTCGCTCCCTGGGGGAGATAAGGGACGGTTCAGTCTGGGTTAGGTTCTGTTTGGATGAACAATAAGTATCATCAGAGGATAGGGCAATGAACTTTGCGTGAGGGTTGCAGCAGGAGTCAGGGAAGGCTTTGTAGAGAAAGGGGGCTGTCCTCGTCAGTTACCTGGGGGATTGAAACAGGTGCAGAAGTCTAGAAACAGAGCTGCATGTGTGACCCCTTTTCGTGACTTTAATTAGGTCTCTAGCAACTATCCTTTAATTGTTGTCTGATTTGGACACTTTTCATGTGTGAGGTATAAAACTTTAAGGAGCCTTCAGAATATAACTGGGGACAGGGCACCGGGTGGCTCAATGGGTTAAGCCTCTGCCTTCAGCTCAGGTCATGATCCCAGGATCCCGGGATCGAGTCCCACATCGGGCTCTCTGCTCAGCAGGGAGCCTACTTCCTCCTCTCTCTCTGCCTGCCTCTCTGTCTACTTGTGATCTCTGTCAAATAATAAATAAAATCTTTTTAAAAATGCAAGAATATAACTGGGGACAAACAAAGTGATTTTTATGTTTAAAAATGACCTTTTGAAGGGCATTGAGCTGATCACTGGGATGCAAAACAGAGTTGAAATACAGCGCAGACGCTCTTTTGCTTTGGCGAGTGTTTTTTCTCCCATGCTTCATCCTCCCGTGACAACCACTTCAAGAGTTGAGAATCAAATAGTATTTGGTATTTTCAATTATTATTATTATTATTTTTTTACGAATAGAACTTCTCCTTGGAGGGAACTTAAATTTTGAGAAAGGAAGCCCCATCATGATTTTCAGAGCCAAGAAAAGTTCTATTGGCCTTTGAACCAATCTTCTGTCCATTTTTAATGTTTCTTATATTTTTGTCTTGAAATACTATGGTCTGCTTATACTGGGTGTTTGGGAGGCTTCTGTGTCTTTCTTTTAGTCTTCTGTCTGGAAATCATAACAGCGCCTTCTGCTGGTTCCTGAGTACATGCCTCGTGTGGGTCCTGTGTTGTGTCTCCTGTCTATATCCTCTCTAATCTTTAAACCAATCCTCCCAGGCGGGTGGTAGTAGTCTTTTCAGATGAGAAAACAGACCTGGGAATCCCAGCCATGTAGCCAGAAAACGGAGAGACTGAAATTCTTCCTAGTCTGTGTGTTGCGTGTGCCTTACACTCCCGCTCGTGGGTGTTTATTGCCGGCTGGACTCCCATCTCTTTCCATTTCAAGATTTGCACAAATCATGTTTTTAATATAATAATAATAATAATACCCCAGGTATAAGATGAGATTGTTTAAGACTTCAAAGAGTATAAGAGTTTTCTAGTCTTGGCTCCCATCCCCAGGTCCCCCTGCAGGAGGCTGCTAGTTTGCCCTGCCCTTTCACACCTTCCGTGTATGTCGCTGTCAGCTTCTTCCCTCCACCAGAACCGTGGAGCAAGGGGACTGGCTGTGCCTGGTGATCAGATGATCAACTCGTGCTGCCACAGCTCAGCGGGTGGAGCTTCGGTGGTGGCCGTCACCGGTCATCGTGCTGTTGATTTCCTGTTGCTCGTCTCTGCTGAGAAAACCCAGCTAATGCTTCCATTATTCTGGTT